GCCCATCGAGTTTTGATATACCTGAAACCGTGGACCTTGATCTGAAAACCGTTGACCTTGACCTGAACCTTGAAGCTTGACCTGGATGGAATGGATACTAGAAATATACAAAAACAAGTGAGTAACTGCTCATCGAGTTTTGATATACCTGAAAACCGTGGACCTTGACCTGAACCTTGAAGCTTGACCTGGATGGAATGGATACTAGAAATATAAAAAAACAAGTGAGTAACTGCTCATCGAGTTTTGATATACCTGAAAACCGTGGACCTTGACCTGGACCTTGAAGCTTGACCTGGATGGAATGGATACTAGAAATATACAAAAACAAGTGAGTAAATGCCCATCGAGTTTTGATATACCTGATAACCGTGGACTCTGATCGGATCCCTGATGCTTGACCTGGACGGAATGGATACTACAAATATACAAAAACAAGTGAGTAACTACTCATCTAGTTTTGATATACCTGAAACCGTGGACCTCGATCTGAAAACCGTGGACCTTGACGTGAACCTTGAAGCTTGACCTGGATGGAATAGATACTACAAATATACAAAAACAAGTGAGTAAATGCCCATCGAGTTTTGATATACCTGATAACCGTGGACCTTGATCTGAAAACCGTGGACCTTGACCTGAACCTTGAAGCTTGACCTGGATGGAATGGATACTAGAAATATACAAAAACAAGTGAGTAACTGCTCATCGAGTTTTGATATACCTGAAAACCGTGGACCTTGACCTGAACCTTGAAGCTTGACCTGGATGGAATGGATACTAGAAATATACAAAAACAAGTGAGTAAATGCCCATCGAGTTTTGATATACCTGAAACCGTGGGTCTTGACCTGAACCTTGAAGCTTTACCTGGATGGAATGGATACTACAAATATACAAAAACAAGTGAGTAACTACTCATCTAGTTTTGATATACCTGAAACCGTGGACCTCGACCTGAACCCGCTGACCTTGACCTGAACCTTGAAGCTTGACCTGGATGGAATGGATACTAGAAATATACAAAAACAAGTGAGTAACTGCTCATCGAGTTTTGATATACCTGAAAACCGTGGACCTTGACCTGAACCTTGAAGCTTGACCTGGATGGAATGGATACTAGAAATATACAAAAACAAGTGAGTAAATGCCCATCGAGTTTTGATATACCTGAAACCGTGGGTCTTGACCTGAACCTTGAAGCTTTACCTGGATGGAATGGATACTACAAATATACAAAAACAAGTGAGTAACTACTCATCTAGTTTTGATATACCTGAAAACCGTGGACCTTGACCTGAACCTTGAAGCTTGACCTGGATGGAATGGATACTACAAATATACAAAAACAAGTGAGTAACTGCTCATAGAGTTTTGATATACCTGAAACCGTGGACCTTGACCTGAACCTTGAAGCTTTACCTGGATGGAATGGATACTACAAATATACAAAAACAAGTGAGTAACTGCTCATCGAGTTTTGATATACCTGAAAACCGTGGACCTTGATCTGGAAACCGTGGACCTTGACGTTAACCGTGAAGCTTGACCTGGATGGAATGAATACTACAAATATACAAAAACAAGTGAGTAACTGCTCATCGAGTTTTGATATACCTGAAACCGTGGACCTTGACCTGAAAACCGTGGACCTTGACGTTAACCGTGAAGCTTGACCTGGATGGAATGAATACTACAAATATACAAAAACAAGTGAGTAACTGCTCATCGAGTTTTGATATACCTGAAACCGTGGACCTTGATCTGAAAACCGTGGACCTTGACGTGAACCTTGAAGCTTGACCTGGATGGAATGGATACTACAAATATACAAAAACAAGTGAGTAACTGCTCATAGAGTTTTGATATACCTGAAAACCGTGGACCTTGACCTGGACCTTGAAGCTTGACCTGGATGGAATGGATACTACAAATATACAAAAACAAATGAGTAACTGCTCATCGAGTTTTGATATACCTGATAACCGTGGACTCTGATCGGATCCCTGATGCTTGACCTGGACGGAAGGCACTAGAAGCATACAAAAGACAATGAGCATATGCTCCTCGAGTCTTGGTGTACCTGTGGCCCTGGATGGAAACCTGTTCTTGATTGCTTGACTTTGCCTGAAAAGTCCCTAAAGAAATATCAAAGACAGTGAATGATTAATCAACGAGCCTTTATATACCTGTAGGCCTGGATGGAGATCTTATTTTTTATCGTTGACCTTGTTTGTCAAAAGACTAGACAAATATAATCTTCACAATGTGTGTCTTTGATAAATATCATATACTCCTTGAAATATAGTAAGTCCTGTCAGTTTATATCTTGTTTCTGAGCGTGAATAGGCTTTGGATGGATTGATGGTCAAACCAGTGTTGGACCTCAGTATTTCATTTTTGCTGTGTACTGGCTTTGACATGTTGTCTTATATCTTGCTACTGACTGTTTTACATATGATAAAAGCCTGAGATTTGACTAGCAAAATGGATTTGTATTGGTCATGATTCGTCTTTAACGTCTATGTTGATTAAAGCAGTTTGTGAGAGAGCAGTAAAGAAGTGTATAAAGTATTAATGGTATGTGGAAGAGAGTTGTTTTGACGCGTTCTGTTTGGATAGGTGTTTTTTTTTTTATAAAACTCATGACGTCTCAATCATGAGTTGCTGTTCTTTTTTATTATTTTTATTATGATAGTTTGATAATATATTATAAAATTCGGTTTTTTTCTTATTCCTTTTTCGGTTTTCTTTTATCTTTTAGCCTTGACAGCATGTATATATTATTACTATTTTACTTCTTTATTTAATATCTATGCTTAAAATATGGGTTTTGGGTTTTAAAGAAGTATCACTTATATTCTGAAGGACGTGCTGTGCAGGCACTTGTTTTACTTTTTGTTTTTTTCTTTTGCCTCTTTTTTTGTTTTAGTTCTTTTTATGTCACATAAGGTCCGTGCTGTCCGTGCAGCATCACATGTGTCATGGGGCTTAGAGGAGCATAGTAGCAATAGTGGTCCAGACTTTACTTTAGCATGAAAACATTTAAATGATGTCTTCCGATTGGTGGACTATATGCATGTCAAATTATTCAGTTGCTATGGACCCCCATCCCCTTTTTTATTCTACTTTCTGTTGTGATTCTGTTAACAAGGCTTATGCTTTTGAACAGCCACTTGTCGAGACACTATATATGCCTCTGTGTTCATTTTAGCTGTACTACTGATATACAAAGTATTAATCGGCTAGACGTTAAACTACAATAAAGAAGTGTAAAGTTGTGTTGATTATAAAGCTTTAATTAAAGTCTTGTGTATATTTATTTGTTTGTTTTCTTGTTTGTTTGTTTCACATGCTGTGACTTTATTAGTTTAAGAAGCACCCCCGAAAAAAATTGCTGCTTATATCTTTTCTTTTCTTTCGTGTGAAAGACTTCCATTTTTCTTCTAGCTTTTTCACCAGTGTCTTGAGTTAATAAACACAAAGTGTAGGAATACTTTCTTGAAATAAAAGTACTTTCAGTGCTTCAGTATGAAGGGATTGACAGCCTGACTATTGAAAGTCGTTGGTACCTCAAGTTAAAGCATCGTTCTTAGAGTAAAATAAAAGTAAAAAGAAGAACAGGGTCTAGCCTAGTGTTTGTCAATCGACCTTGGTTTGTACTACTTTATAAACCAATCATAATCCAACTGAGAAATTAATACAGCATAACCCAACTGCCTGAAACACTTTACATTTATATGTGTTCAAATATACACCATTCTATCGATAATTATAATTATTTATATAAGTTACATTATACACCATGAAAAAGTAGTGGTGCTTGCAATTGTGCTAGCCTGGTCACAGATAGATCAAGCTAGTAAAATGGCTATTACATATATATAAATCACCTTTTAAAGGCTCTGCTTATTTACTATTTTTTTCTGTTATTGCTCAGACTGACTGACGGCACAATATGAAAGCAAAGAGACAATCTACTGCTACTGAACGTATAGGTTTTGTTTGGTTGGGAGCAAGACGCTATCGATTACTAATTATCGATTTATAGGATCTAGTGCTTTTGATATTTTGCGCTTGTATACCAAACTCAACTGGATGCACGAATAACCTAGAAATAATACTCTGTTGGATTAAAGGCTTTGATTTATAACTTTTGTTTTGTAATACAATATAATGCGCTACAGTACTGTATAGTATGATTCCACTTATTACTTTGAGGTTCATAGTCTAGCTTTGGTTCGCTTGAGACTATTTTAGTTTGAAGCACGGAGCCTTTGTATAAATGAACCTTTTCTATGGTCGATTAAATATGAGTGTACTGGAAATGATATTTTTTAAGATTTCTACAAGCATATGCAAATGCACACCAATGGTAATCATAGCTTTTCAATTATAGAAAATTAAAAATCGAATCAAATAAGCAATGTTTTTTTTTTGGCTTTAAGTAACCTGGTGAGACACATTGTGATCCACCTCTTCGAGGTTTATTATATTACAATTACTCGAATTTTGATCAAAATATCCGATTTTTTCACTCTCAAAAAGCATAGAACCCTGAAATTCGGGAAACTTGCACCACTTCAATAAGCTCTTTAAATGCCCAATAGCAAAAATACGAGTTGTTTCTAAAAGTACAATTTTTTTTTAGTTGAATACATAAACCAGACACTCCAAAAGGCATCAATTTGGAGTGTTCAAAAGTTAGAGATATTTTTTTTAAAGAAAAGAGAATATTATTTAGCATAAGAGACATTATAGAATAGCTATATATCTATATATGCTCTACATAACAGAATATCAGCTTGTATAAACGTTTATATGAAGAAAGCCGTCCTATATTCTGACATTACAAGCATACGCTGGAAGCAAAGAGTGGAGTACAAATAAAGCCACAATCTTTTTTCCAAAAAAAAAAGGCAATGACTTTGGCAGACACTCTTGAAATGGACGGCTGTGTAATATATGTCATGATATTTTATATTGCCCTTTAAGAGAAAAGAAAAATACATAGGATACTTTTTATGTGTTCCATTAAATAGCATACTTGAAGTCTTTGTTTCAGATTTATTAATTAAAATTATGATAGTAAATTGGTGTAAAGAAGTAAAAAAGAAAAAAAAAATGGGAAAATTTAAATTAATAAGGGCATTTTTTCTTTTTTTTTTGGGGGTTAAATACCTGTCTCCAAGGTGTATATGTGCAGTGTATACATCCCAGTCTTTCTTCACATATAGACGCACAAACCAGCTTGTCCACCGATATCTTGGCTGTACCATTATAAAATATAGAGTATAAGGTGGTTTGCTTTTTATGTCTTCTTGTAGACTGTGTAGAGGCTCATTGGTAAATTAGAGCCTACGACTTCCTACAAACAAAAGTCTTTTTTTTGTAAACTGTTATTACTGATCGGTGGTGCAGACACCCTTTGTGTACCCACAAGTGAAAGAATCATAGCAGGGTCCATTGACAGGGATACTGTTACCCATACGAAGGTTTAAAGACCGTATGGTACTCACTTACAATCGTTGAGAGAGGACTGTGTATTCAAAACCCTTCACTGTGCTGTAACCAAAACAAAAAAAAAATCTTTTTAACGATGGCTTGAATCTTCTTTCGACATTCCGCCATCCCAGTCGAGGATCTTCATTCCTGTTGGGGATCGTCATTCATATTGTATTGCAACTCAAAGTGGACCGAAAGCGACGCAATACGAAAAGGAAGCGCACTCTTTTGAAAAATAAAATAAAAAATGAAATACTCTTTATTTTATCTTTTTGACGACTGTTCACTGTATATGCGGCTCTAACAAAAAATAAGCCCTTGGTCAAACCTTTGTGTCCCTATAAGCTTCGCACTGCGTTCAAAGGCGACAGTCATCGCCACTCTATTCTTTTCTTTTTTCAACCCTGTACTAACAACAACTTCGCACTGCGTTCAAAGGCGACAGTCATCGCCACTCTATTCTTTTCTTTTTTCAACCCTGTACTAACAACAACTTCGCACTGCGTTCAAAGGCGACAGTCATCGCCACTCTATTCTTTTCTTTTTTCAACCCTGTACCAACAACAACTTCGCACTGCTCCCAAAGTCGACAGTCATCGCCACTCTATTGTTTTCTTTTTTCAACCCTGTACTAACAACAACTTCGCACTGCTCTCAAAGGCGACAGTCATCGCCACTCTATTGTTTTCTTTTTTCAACCCTGTACTAACAACAACTTCGCACTGCGTTCAAAGGCGACAGTCATCGCCACTCTATTGTTTTCTTTTTTCAACCCTGTACCAACAACAACCTCGCACTGCTTTCAAAGTCGACAATACCAATCATACTATCTTTCTTATTTTATCACTACTGAAAAATAAAAATAAAAATAATAACCATATAATCAAACTTCAGCACTCGGAACCCATATACTCTGTTCTTTTATATCTGAAGTGACATATACTACTATTCTCAGAACTGTCTTTTTACTTTTGCATGCACATGATATCTATATACTTATACCTTCAACACCTTCCTCAATGAAAATGATCCCATCCTATCACACATAATTTTTAAAAATTCTTACTTTTAGTATATCTTTAAATATCCAGTTCTAGACCAAACAGCCATTGTCTAACACAAAGTCCTGCCATAGTAATCTCTCTTTATAGATGCACAACATAATCCTCAAACCTATATTTTTAAAAAAAAGAAACATATATTAGGCTTATTATAATATTTTAATTTTTCAACTAAATTAGTTACTAATATAATATATATTATAAAAGTACGGTGACATCAAAGACATATCATGAAAACCATTAGACAGAGCAATAGAGTAACCATGTCATATTTTGCAAGCACCAACATTTGTGTCAGAGATATACATTTTTATTTTTGTTTAACCTTACTTATATTTAGGTTAAGTGGTAAGCGCTGTTACTACTTCAAGCCAGGTCCGGCGTTCAATTCTCAATAGAGTATATGTTTGGGTTTTTTTTAGTTTTATATATCATGATAGAATCTTTTAATTTTTTTAAAAAAAAAATTAGTAAGAATTATATATTTTAGTAAGATTATATTTTTGAGTGATTAATTATTCCATGTATTATTCGAGAACAATTAATAGATTAGTATTATCTTTATAGTTCTGGCAAATGTTATGTTTTTATACTAATCATATAAAATGATTAATATATTAAATAAAGAAACTATAATAGTTATTGCTTTATTCAAGCATATTATTTTCAGTCGCGACTCTCAACAAAATAAAGTAAGATAAAAATTTTCAAAATCTGACTTTTATATTAATCAAGGTAAAGCAAGTGATAGAATCTCAAAAAAGCAATAGATTTGATTGCTTCATAGTTTAAATACCAAGTTAACAGTAAAAAAAAAATCATTTAATATTTTCCCTTTTTTGTCTTTAATTAATAAGCATTAATTAAAGACAATAGCATTTTTACCTCTTATTTTTCTCATTATTTTTTCTATTTTTAATATTTACTTTTTATTGTATATGCAAGTAGTCACAATTTTTTTTCAGAATTAGAGGTAAATGTTTGATCACTTGGTGTGGACAGACTAAAAGCTCAAAAAAAGACCAAAATAAATTAAAACTCTTGCCCAATGATATGACTTAAAATTTATTCTTCTTTTGCACTTTTTTTGAACTTTTAGTCTGTCTACACCAATTTTTTTTTATTTTGACATCATTTTATCACATAGATGAATATGTGAGCAAAGACATGTATTGTTTATAGATTAATTCAATTTTTCTTCTTCTTCTAATATATATAGATAGTGATGATATTCTGCTTGAGCAGCAATATTCGATTTATTTTAATTTTCTACCAACCTGCCCACTATACCAAATCCCGGCGGCCATCTAATCGTAGCTTAATTCAAACTCCGAAAAATTCTAAAGACCGACAATGCGCCTCTAATGCCACTTTTCTGTTACTCTTCTCTATTAGCTATCGATAGAACCAAAAAGCATACAGATACAATCAGTAGAAGGTGAAAAAAGTAAAATTGTATGAATTTTATTTTTTGGTAAATTATTGATTTCTTGAAAAAAAAGCAAAAAAAAATTATATTTTATAAATTCCAACTGAAACCGATATTTGTTTTTTATAATTTTATTTGTTTTTTGGAATCTTTCTCGTCCTTTAACCAAGGCCAAACCCACATTGTTCAAATAATTTCAATTACAAGAAGTATGTCTATATATATTTGTTATTCTTTAGAATTCCTGATAAGAGGTTAAAGATTTCTAATAAAAAAATACAATTTTTATTATAGTCATTGGTGCAATAATTCCTATTGTGGAATGAGACAGGGGGTTATTTTTTTGCAGAAAAAATATTCTTATTTATTTATGTTTCGTTTTACTGTGCGTGTGCATCTTTTTTTAACAATTTTCGTTTTATTTTCATCGTCATTTAAAGATGACATGACAAGAACAGTCGAGATTACTAAATTTACACACACACACATAAACATATACATGTTATATTTTTGAAAAGAGTAATCGTACACCAAAAGAATAAGCCAGTTTTGATGTTTGTTAATCAGAAAACAATCCGCGACACGCACTCTTGTATGATGGAGGCACATTATTATAATTGTTTTATCTTATATACTTGTTAGGCTGCATGTGGTGTATATTAGTCGATATTAATCCTTAGAAATATATGTATATATCTGCAATACTATGAAGGGTGATAAGTACAGCCGACAGATTTTCTTTCTTTTAATATTATGATAACTAATTAACTGTAGAAAATATCTATGATGACATATTTATATCAAGCTGTTTTACCAGAGATAGTACTGTATAAGAAACAAAAATTGAAAGAGCGGTGGAGAGTAGTATAAATATCTATCACTGTAAATAGCAGAAGTCTGATAAGATTGTACATACTGTGAAATCAGTGGATATTTAGTTTAATCTTGTATCACTTGTGACGAAAACAGCAGCAACAAAAAACAACATTGTGAGCTACAGTAATTAAACTATGCTTTTCTCTTTTTCTTCTTATACCCGTGTATATATTTAGTCAAGACCGTAATAATTCTCAAAAAATACTCAAAGCCGAGATGCTGTGATGTTATGTCGAAAGTGATAATCAGCGACCTTATTTATGCAGCCAACATTATAGAGACCACGACGAGGACTGAATATCTAGTTGTTTTAACGTATTCTACTACTCTCACTCGCTTGTAGTTAACTTGTTACGTTAAACAATATAAAAACTGCAAAGGTCATCAACCGTCTCTCTTTTTTTTTTGTTAATTTTTTAGTTGAATCTCGCTTTTTTGGCTTCCTTAACTCTGGAATATATATTCTGCTAGATAGTAAAATACAAGTCATTTTTTGACATTTTTGGATTTAGAATAAGAAGAAAGAAAAGAAACAAAGAAATGGAGCTGCCCGAATTACACAGTATTATACTTGTACTTTGATATATTGGTGACATATGCATTTGGGTTGACAATACGGTAAAAAAGAAAAACCAATCATTAAATATTTACCGGATCATAGTATTTAAAGGGAACATCTTTTTGGATGTAGCAATGTAAATTAATACCAATTTGTATATGTTTTACTTTGATGTAGTTCAAGCATATGCGACAATTTTTCTTTCACATATATATTAAAACAATAATGCTAATACACTAAGTCACATAGATGAAGATAATGGTAGGTACCAGGGGTTGTGGTGGTCAGTAATCTAACTCTGATACTACTTCATTGCTGCTACATGTTTTCTAGATACTGGTTTGCGTTAATAATCCAACCATATTCATTTAACAATAAAATAAAGACATAACGCAAAATAATTTAAATTTAATATGTTTTAAAATCGCAGTAGATGAAATGTTTGTAGCAATCGTTTTTTGATAATGAAAACAATAATTCATGATTCAGTATAATTAAAATATGCATTCCTGTCATCTCAAAACACACACACTATGTACTCTCACTGCAATAGATGTAATAATAGCTGGTAAAGTATTTCTAGAATAGTGAGACACATTATCCATCATCATAACAAAAGAATTAAATTTGAAACCGTTGAGATATTTAAGAATATTATAATGTATTCTGTGTAAAAAGCATTTATATATATGCGTGTTATTTTGAATAAAATACAGGTCCAAAGAAAAGCATGGGAATTTGTACTGAACGTAAGAAAATTTTATTTTTGTTTTTTAAAAATAATCGGAATAAAACCAATAAAACATTGTATTTTCTATTTGTAACAGTTCTTACCTCTCAATCCAATCCAGTGAAAGCAATAGACAGTCAGGCTAACTCACCTTCTAAGGACTTCACTTCAATGTTTGACAATGGCTTAGCTGAAATGATTCCAGTGGAGATGACTTGGACACCATGCTTGACTATGATAACAATGGCAGTGATAAATACATTGATAAACACGAGATTTTTGAGATCAAAGTTAAAGAGCTTAACAATGAAGGTCAGCTTTCGATCCAAATAATAAGAGAAATATTAGTAACTAGTTTCTTTTTTTGTCAATTTTTTAATAAACCCATTTGCTGTTTCTGATATACACCAAACAATCCAGTCTACTCGTACATTTCAATCTTTACTATCATGTTTGCTCCACGCTGTGTTGTTAATTAGGGTCAGATTGTATTGATTGGATTTATCTATCATGTCTTGAAAACGTATAGTCGCCATTTCCAGCCTCCAGCAAGACTTTCTGGATTCCAAAAAATGCCACCTTTTTTCTTAGCCATCGCAAAGGGGATACAAAGATTTGTGGTATCCCAGGACTGACATATAGTCACAACCTATCAATAAATAGTATCAGTCCTTTCTCAATGCGTCTCTTCAATGATTGGCACGCGAGCTGCTTGAATTTGTAAATTCAGGAAGACTTCTTACACTCTAGCACCTCAGTCAATAAACGTGAATTAATTTACCAGTCCAATACAAATGCATTGAATGTTTTCTTCATTCATCCTGATCTTGAAGTCAAGATTTGTCAATGGAACAAGGAGCTGAATATAATTAATATGATGTGCGACGAATATAACGGCCTGATGTGAAATAAGTCGAAGAGCATGGTTGCTCCATCATTTTGTTTATGAACTTCGTTATTTGATATTAGCAGTGAATATCGTCTCGTTTAAACCCTCTGGTGGTATTACATATCTCTTCGGTGCTACATACCTGGCAAACAACAACTTGTCCTACAGCAAGAGGCTAAACCCCAAAAATCTCATTCTTGCTGGTTTGATAGCTCGACCAAAAAAGCCTAAATTCAGCGCAATTAACAGTCATAGCAACCCTTTTGCTGATGGCTTGTAGCAAATGTACATGATAATACAAGTCCAAGCATCCCCTTTTTAGTCTGGAAGGTAATATCAATGTCGATTTATGTGAGTACATTTATTCGCAGTCGTATCTCTCTAAAGTGTCATTGAAAGTAGGCTTGGATACTAAAGAGTGAGAAATTGCTAGTGCACCCTCAAAAAGCCATTATACAGATGTTATAAATGTTGCGTGACAGTTGGAGTTGCATCATCTTGGACACCTTAAATAAGTGCGTGCACCATCATTGACTTCGTACATAATTTCTTCTGTAAAAAGACTAAGAGAATGGTTGAAAATTTAACAAAAAATGGCGATATTAACAGCAGAAAAAATGGCATGTCACAGTGTGTATACTGGCATGACAAGTAAAAGTAGAAAGGGGGTTTCGCACATATAAACCAACAAATAGAAGTCCTATATACTCATCTACGCCTTGTTAAAACCTGACTTGACTCGACTCAAGATTTTGATCGACTCTGTGGGTATATATAAAAAGTCTGTAACGTCTGTTATATGATAACAAGACCTCAAAAATACCAATATCAGCCTAAATACTTTGTGTCAGCACTGCAATCGTCTTTACCCTCCTATTACTCTCAGCTGTAACATTCGCATACACCTTCATCTTCCCGATACCATTCGAAATTTTGAACCATTGTAGAAAAAAACGATCTTTGGGTTTAAGGGATACAAGAGATTGTTAAGCAATGCAAGCACAAACAGAGAACATGACTTGGAAGATATATATATATACGTACTTTTGTTAAATACGCCTATAAGAATAGTTTGGTTAATGTTATTCTCCCGTCCTCATGTCAAGCACATCTTCTTCTACTCATCAAGGTCAATGACACTTCCATCCCCGCCACTTCCGTAATCACTAATCACTCATTCAAGTTTTTTTCGGACCCACGAGTCAAAATTAAGGATAATGAATTTCTCTCCCTTCCTACGTTTCCTCTCCATGCCAGAAAATTATCCGTAATAGATAATGGCTACTATCCCTATTTCCTTGAATACTACAAAATCGCTTACCGATTTAAAAATCTCATCATTTACCAGAAGGCCTCCTTTACACACTCCTTCACACTTTCGACCAAACACAATCTCCACTTAACTCGCATAGTTCATCAAGATCTAAACTTGTTTTCATTCATTGTAATTGTTTTACAGCTACTGATAGATCGCGTGAGGATAACGGCGAAGACGTTTGTTTTAGTGAGATTTTTTTAGATAACTATTGTATCCTTGTACCTGTGCATCGCGTATTATTGAAGGTTGGCACAGTAAAACGCATGACAAGTAAAGATGTTAGAGCATCCACAGCTGTCTGTGTAAATTTAACAAGAATGTTAATTTAGCTAGAAAATTTAGATTTTCTCATCCCCAGCGGATTGCTTAACTAAAAATTTTAACTGATTATTTCTCAATAATAATTACCGGCTTTTTAAATTTAACATTTCACAAAAACATCCAGGGCTTTTTTGCATACACTGCTAATTGTATGTCGTACCTAACACAATTGGTGTTGACTCCGTTACGACTACAGATGTGGTATAGGCTCTCCGAGCCGCGCTTTTATTTTTTGAAAATATATAAATTAATAAAGTTATCATTCCCCTTGTTCCTCATATCTTTCCAAGCCGCGCACCGTGGATTAAATGAATATCAATGAACTTTCACCCAAACAAATCCTCGAGCTTATTAAGCTTGGACAGCAGGCACAACAGAGACAACGAGATTACGACGGAGATAACCTCCCAGAAGAAATCCTCAAAGATTTGGACGAGCCTTCAGCGAAAGGTCTCAAGTCGAACATTATTCGATTCACAAAAGACACCCTCCAATTTGAGGGTGGAAAGTGGACAAAGTCAGGAGCGATCAACCAGATTTTCGTCCCTGACCTCAAAAAATACACCGTGGATGCCCATCAGATTGTACAAGGCAAATACAAAGATGGCGACAAACTTCGAATTGCAGGAAGAGCAGCAAGTGAAGTCTTCAACGACCTCAAGTATATTAAATCACAACAAAGTAGTAACAAAGACGCAGCCGATTTTGATGAACTCATCGAAAAAGTCAGGCGTTTGGCCGTCTATGCGTTCGCAAGTGGAAAAACGCTGGACGAAGATGCCAAAGAACTCAGCATCCGAGCAATTAAGCTCCCCACAAGAGCAAGATATTTCGAAGATGAAGATGACAACGACAAAGACATGGCCTTCGATCAGGAGTGGGTGGAGAAAATCCAACAAGCAAGATACGAAGAATCTGTCCTCCAGAGTGCTGTCAGTAACAAGAGAGGATGATATTCCACCGGAGGATACTCCAATGGAGGTCATAGAGGCAGAGGAAGAGGCCGTGGAGGCAACTTCTTTAGTAGAGGACAGTCCACTTACACACAAAAACCTTTTTTTGGGAGAGGAAAATCGAATCCAACAGGATTCAATGCTCACCAGAGCCCATCAACGAACAACAATCCTCTCAACCAGCAATAGGGAAAGATCATCTAGTATCACAGCTAGATTATCCAATGAATATGCCAGAAATGGATCAGAACACATCAGCATCAGTCTCACAAAACCCGTCAAACTTAATCTCGGTTACACAACAACACTACAACATACCAACAGATGGAATTCCTCCAGGAGGACGATTGAACAGATTTCTATCCGTCTGGAAGAATGTCATCAACCAACAATGGCCAATAATGGTAGTGGAACAAGGTTACCAAATACAATGGACATCGCCCCCCATTGCTTGGAGAACCAAAACACTGTCATTACCACCCGAAGATCAGAAAGAAGTAGATTTGGCGGTAGAGAAATTCAAGATCTCCGATGTGATAGAAATATCACCGACACAGAACGAGGATTACCTATCCCAATTCTTTATTGTCAGGGAAGCAACCAAATGCAGACCCATCCTGGACTGCAAGAGGATCAACCAGTTTATCCAGTGCTATCACTTCAAGATGGAAGGTGTACCTGCCCTGAGGGACATAATAGAGCCAGGAGACTTGATGACCAAGATAGATCTAAAAGATGCATACATTGTCGTACCAATACACAAGGAATCCAGACGATTCCTCACGTTCAAGCACAAGAATATAGTTTACCAGTACAAATCTCTACCGTTTGGAATGAGTGTGGCCCCGAGAGTATTCTCAAAGCTCATGCGATATGTGATGGAACCTCTTCAGAAGGAGGGAATACGCCTGGTATATTACTTGGACGACATTTGTATTTTAGCAAAAACCAAGTCGGAGATGGAGAAGCACTCATCTCGAGTACTCCAGCATCTAACATCTCTAGGATATCTGATCAACTGGCAGAAGAGTGTATTAATACCTTCGTACAAACAGGAATTCCTAGGCTTTCAATTCAACACCAAGGCTATGGACATCAAAGTTCCAAAGAAGAAAATGATAAACTTGAACGCCCGAGTCAAACAGGCATTCACACAAGTGAGATCGTGCCGATGGATTGCCAGCTTGATAGGGAAAATGACGGCCATGATTCCGGCAATAGGGGAGTCACTGCTGCACGTCCGGTACATGAAGAGAGATTTATCAAAAGCACTTCAAGCGAAAGCAACAAGATGGGAAGCAAGCTGCCCTTTATCTTTGGAAGCACAAAAGGAGTTGAACTGGTGGGTCGAAAACGCAGAAGCCACAAACGGATTGCCAATCAGAAAACCAATACCACCACCACCAACACTCACAATACACGTCGACGCATCCGACTCGGGCTGGGGAGTCTCATCCCAGATGATCCAAACAGCTGGATATTGGACAAGAGACGAAAAAGAAGATTTGATCAATGTCAGGGAGCTGAAGACAATCTTGATTGCACTACAACTGCACGCAAGAAAATCCGAAAACTCCAGCATAATGATATACTCGGACAACACAACAGCACTTGTGAAGTTTTATAGAATAAAATCAACAGTAAAAAGATTGAGACGTATATAAGAATACTTTGAGACTGTATATAGGTTGTCTTTATTAAAGAATACAAAGTTGTCCTTTTTATATCAAAACACGATCTGCTTTGTCAGTCACATCTTAATTTCTTAAGTCTGAGTTCATTTAGATATTAGAGAGCTGGTACTGCTATGTTTATAATTTAATCTAATTGCAGTGTCCTCATATTAACTCAGTGCTTACTGAGCTGTCATAATTACAGTACTTACTGTAATTAATTATTGGTCTTATTGATTTACCATAAGTAAAATAAATAAATTATTCATTTGTTCTTGTAATGATAGCTGTTTTACTATAATAATAGGAATATGTTCTTAGATGTAATAAATCCAACAACCAAGTGTCTGGATCACCACAGCACTAAAGTATGCCTACAAATTGGGAGGAACCGCATCAGCAATACTGCAGCAACTGGCTCTGGAGATATACCAGATATCCAAAAGCCACAACCTCACCGTACAGTACCAACACATAGCTGGGATAGACAATGTAATAGCCAATCGTCTCAGTCGACAAGCAACACTGATTTACGAGTGGAGTCTACCACGGACATGGTTCCGCCGGATTCAACAACAATTGAGGTGGAAGATGACGATAGACGCTTTTGCAGCACGGCACAACACGAAGCTACCAAGGTTTTGGAGCCTATTTCCAGACCCAGAAGCAGAAGCTCAAGACGCATTCTACCAAAACTGGCCACGGGTAGGACTATACTTACACCCACCGTGGAAGTTGATTCCCAAAGTATTGCAACGAATTCAGGAACAGAAGGTGAAGAAAGCGATCCTAGTGGCCCCAAATTGGCCTACCCAATTTTGGTGGCCGATGCTTCTACAGATGAGTATTGCTCCACCGATGTACATTCCAATAAACAGGACATGGTCTCTAAGCGCATGGATATTATCCGCAAGAAACAAGAGATAGACGGATTAGACAACGAGATTATTGATTTCCTTTCTCAGTCCACCAGAAGTAGCACGCAAAGAATATATGATAGTGGATGGAAGAGATGGGTTGAGTGGTGTGCACATCAAACACCGGAAGTCATACCAGAAGAATATCAACCAATGCAAGTAGTACGATACCTTTTATCAATAAAACATCAGTCGCCCCAAACACTAAATGTAGCAAGGTCATCCTTGGGATCCGTATATCGCATTACACATCCTACCAAAATTCCACTGGCAGATCATCCTCTGATCCAAAACTTCTTCAAAGCAAAGAAACGAACAACATTTAAATTACCCAATATCAGCAACGAAACATGGGATGTACAACCAGTATTACAGTTATTGGAATCTTGGGGACCAAGCGAGAATCTTCCTTTAGGAAAATTACAACAAAAGACCATTATGCTTTTGTGTTTAGCGACAATGTGGCGACCTAGATCGGATATGGGCCGCCTACAGTTTCGAGATGTCAAACTACAGTACAATGAGAAACTAGAACTAGTAGGAGTTACGTTGATTGCACGGGAGCCAAAAGAGGGTCAGGCCAAGTCCTCAAAGTTAGGAACTATTCGCACTCCAGAAATCTGCCCAGTTTTGACCTTGGATTGGTTTGTGAAAAGAACAGCCATGACTGGGGAGAAGTTAGAAATAGACCACACTCTTTTCTTGGGATATATTGACTCGGATAAACCGACACCCGTAAAACCGACAACAGTAGCCAACTGGGTGACCAACATCTTAAAAGAAGCCGGGATTGATACCAGGAAATATACAGCACACTCCACAAGATCAGCTGCAAGTACTCATGCAATACTGCAAGGAATACCAGTAGAAGAAGTCAAATGGCATGCCAACTGGAGTTCGTCAAGTAATACATTTGAGCAATATTACTTTAAGCCAAATGAACAACATTCCAGAGGAGCACAGATTACAGAAGCCATATTTGTGCCTAGTACTGAGAACAGTACCACATCTGTAGTCGTAACGGAGTCAACACCAATTGTGTTAGGTACGACATACAATGGGGAAGTTGACGAAGTGAAGACGAAAGATGTGGTAGCTACCCGCCGCTGGTACTCAAGACTATTACCATTTTGACTATTATTTATTATTTTCCATATACTTACCAGACATTTTCCCTCCCCAATTACCACATCAATAGCAACAAATATGACTAGCTTAGCATGGAAAGATATGAGGAACAAGGGGAATGATAACTTTATTAACTTATATATTTTCAAAAAATAAAAGCGCGGCTCGGAGAGCCTATACCACATCTTTCGTCTTCACTTCGTCAACTTCCCCATTTTATCCAAGCCGCTGTGGATGGTCTAAATTATCTCTTTTAAACGCAGCTTTTTTATTTTACGCAATTATTTTAGTTACACATACTGCTGTGGATGCTCTTAGGTCACCTGAGACTGCTGTGTTAGGCCCACTACTAATGATCCTAGGGATCATTTGTTAAGGGGAACTCTTGTTACGATTTTCTTCTAGGATCTAGGGCCAAAAAAAATCATTTGAAAAGTTTGTCCTTCTGCCATTGACAACGTACTAGTCAACAATTCTGACGAGATTAAACTGAAATTAATGCATCAATGTTCCACCCAATATAACTTTACGACAATGCACAAATTTTAATCCAAAAAAAAGACCATTTTATCTAGTAGCTTCTTCAACTCAGCTGTACAATCTGAATGACTTGACTTGTGCCATGCTTAGAACTTTTATTGACATGTTCACCATCAGATATTTTTTGTCTCTTGGTTTGTGTTGGCACATTAATTTTATATCACTTAAGCTGATGACTCTTTGGTTAGCAAAGTATGCAAGTAAACGTGAAGTGTGGCTCTAGCAATAAATCTTTTTTTCCAACTCTAAACCATAGAATTCTCTATATATATGGTATATACTTTAAGTAGTACTTACTTCAATTAGTCGCCCTACCCTTCTTGAACAAGTTTTCACCAATTTTCTCATAACCGAGCTATCGATTGTACTGATATTATCATAGTTGTTGGTGATAAGTACATCAATCCCGCTATTCTTTACTGCGAGTGTTTTGTTGACCAAGACGATCTACCCTTTGTACCGAAATCAATTTTCCACCTATGACTTTCATATTTTATTTTAGAGTGGAAAAATTCGAACAGCCGCTGGTCGCTAACCTCAACTAAGTGAGGAGCAAATGCATATCTTTGAATGTTCTTTATTTACAAAATATATTAAAAGGTAAATTGAAACCATTAATATTAGCTTACAGTCGAATAGAATCGAATTGAATTGAATAAAAGATAAATTATTTCGAATTTATACAAAAGAGAGTCTAGAAATGAATATGTGATTCTGTGTATAGGTTAAGTAGCAAGAGTGTAAGACCCAAAGCGAGATCGAATCAATTTATCACATCATTCAGGTTTTTTGTTTTAACACACATGTATATCTTTGTTTCTTTCTTCTTCTTCCTAACCTTTGGATTTACACAACATTTTCTAGTGAGGTGTTATATATATATTAAAAGACATTAGGAAATACTTTTTTATAGTCAACTAAAAAATGATATATTCTGTTGTCATAAAAACATATAAACACAGACTTTATATAATTACAATGTACCTTCTTTATAGGACCCATTTCTATTAGTTAAGGCTATGGATAAAACACATCATTATCATCCTAAAAAATTCTCATTATAGCCTTATACACTATATTGTCAAAAACAGTCTACCATTAAAAGTAACTATCGACTATATTATATAACTTTATATATATTCTCTTTTTAACTAGAAACACAGTGACTCTTCACAAGTACTGTATTGCTACTTGTTTATTTTTTTGCCCATTCATATCTAATATTCCCAAAGTATACATTTGTCGACACACAATTGTAGTAAAATACACAAATTAATCTTTATGTTTTCTTTAAAGAGCACTTATTTTACTCAAATAAAAAGCACATAATATTCCTATATTTTGTTTTGTATGAAAATCATCTCAAAATACAACAAATTGTTCTAGTAAGAAGTAGATATAGTTAAGGCTATATAATAGACAATATTATTAGAACGGAAACACTACTATAAAACCACTCTTAGAATATTTTAATAGAAAAATATAAATATTCTCACATTATACCATCATCTATCTAGCAAGTTTTTAATTTATTCTATTAAATTGAATAGTCGCCCCGCAAACCACCCCAAGTTTTCTTCATTATTAAATATATGTACTATATTCCGCTCTTCATAATACAAACTATATGATCCAGCGTAGATATCATTTTTACTAATGTATCTGCCAGAACCACACCTCCAGAATTAATAGCACACCAGGCTACTAGTTACACTTTAGGCTACATTTGTGACAACCAGCCATTAACAAACGGATAGTTTAAGCAAATAGACCAAATATGTATACAATCAGCTATGGTCCTCTTTCATAAATAAGCAGTAGCAATATAATAAGTAATCTTAATATCCCCGTGCTTGATAAAGCTCGATAGCATATAAATACATAGATTTTAGGGATTAACTATTGAAATATGAATCTATTGATATCTGTCCTTAACGATTTGTAAGTGTATATATAATCATCGTAATTATGCAAGGTTACATGTATCTCAATCAGTCGATTACTTTTATTTCTATGAAACTCTCAGAGAACAAGCGCTTCTCGTAATCCATAAAGTCAAAATACTTATTATATTCATTGGAGATAATTTATCAGATATTACAAAGCACATATAATGAACTTTAATAAAAATATTATATATGATTAATTGAAAGAAAAGATTGTGTTAACAACGACAAAATACTGGTGGAAACATCTAAAGAATATTACTATTATATACTTTATACCTAGCACTTTGCATTCTATTGAGTTGAAAAAATGTGTTAAAATTTGTATGAAGGGATTGAGTAATATAGCTTGTTTAAACACAATATAATGAGTCTAATTAACATACAATAGTAGCTGAGATATATTAGTATTTACTAATATATCTCTCAATAGAAAGTGACAATAGGTACTCCTCCTGCTTTAGATTAGCCTAACTCATAGCTAATTTGTGATCAGAATTTATATTATTCTGGAGTAAAACCTTCTCTCTTTCTGCCAATTATCGTAGGCATTTTCGCATTTGCAAGTAATAAATGGTTAAAATGAACGGATATGATATCTGATTATTATATTTTTAGCATATACCTGGAACCAGATCAGGTCTGAATCCAGAAGGAGATGTAATTTATTTACCTTGCAGCTTTTGGGGAAGTAATGCACCGATTCTCGAAAAATGTTAAGCAACTCCTCGCATTTCTCCCCATATGTTACCACACTTAGGTACCAATTATAATATGATATTGTTTTCTAAGGCACTGTTCCAACCAGATCTGCTTTCTTTGTTATTGATACTAATGTAAATTATTCTAGATGCACAAACCAAAATTGTTTAAAGAACATGCTTTTGTTACAGTTTGACTGTCGTTTATGGAAAAGAGATTTTTCTATTTTCCATACTGCAGGTTTTCATAAACATTTTTTAGGATCTGATGGAGTGATCTGTCATAATTCCATAGCTTACATATCTTTCAAGTTTTTTTTGTCACTATTGTAATTGATATTGTGACAGAGAAAGAATTCTATATAAACATTGTACTAAGGTTGTAGTAAATCAGGTAACAGTAGTAGATAGGTTAATATTAATGTGTTTATAACAGCTGTTTTTTTTTCTCTTCGGTTAAAATGCACTTACAACCTACTATTTTTTTTTCATAATCCTCAAAAACATGGCATTATGACACACGTTATAATGATTTATCTCTCTCTATACCAGTTCAATGTAAAAACTCGGCTACCTCATTAAAGCTGACGCACTCATACACTCTTTTAATCATTATGTTGGAAAAAGCTAGCTTAATACTGAGCAGTATAGAGCATATAATTCGGCTTTATGCCTGTATTCACCATATTTTATTCATCTATTAGCCTTTCTAACAGTGATGGGCAAGCTAGAGAAGATTCAGCAGGAACTAGGTTTATCAAGTACTCAGTATTATAAGCAGCTATCTCAGCTGTAACTTTATTTTGTTCTGCAACAACTGTTTTAAGCCCGCGAATACAGGTATATGATTATATATATGACACATTGATTAATTCTACATGCCAATTTATAGTGGTAAATATAGTGGTACTGTTATTATAGAAAAGACATTATTTTATTATTTTTATTTTTATTATTATGATTATTATTATATACTTAAGTATTCTGCTTCTATCAGTGCCTTCCATAAAGAGAGAAAGAAAAGTAAGGCAGAATACAAGGGGGAAGTAGAAGACTCTGTTAAATAGTAATATATATGAACAGTGGTGGCGTTTCTTTATATATCATAATACACTAAAGAAAGGGGAGAAAAAAATTACAAATTACACATATACAACAAACTATGGCTTTTTTTGGAGATTTGTTTTAAACAAATCCTTGGTAAGATTGCTGCGAGTTTCTGCCAAGAATCTCATCTCGTACTGATACAGCTTTCGCAAAAATACGTTTTTCATCTTCAGTCTCATTTGCACTGTGGGATGATGTAGCAGATTGGGGCCGTTCGTATTCCTGCCTCCGGCCTTGATCGTCCGAATTATGCTCATAAGGGGGGATAGAAGTGTTACTAACCATTATCTGAGAAAAACGATTGAGGAGTGAACTGGATCTTGCTGGAGGAGTGTACGTAGGTAATGGAGGAGGAGAAGGGGAAGTAGCGCGATCGGGATTTCGCAACCAACTGAGACGATCGGCACTCTTTCGACCAAGGCGATTTGAAGTTGATGCATCAAATTCATTGGCCAGACCGGCTTGTTTGAGGTCAGGGCTGCTGTAGTTAGCAGATTTAGTAGTGTTAACAGACCCTGAGCGCTTGACTTTAGAAGCAAGTCCGTTGAATTTCAGCCGTTGAGAGAGTGAACGTGTGACATCTCCAGTGCTTGCACGTTTCCAGATATCAGTGGGATTTTCACGAGTAATGGCCATGCCCTTCTTGAACAGCTCATCGATAGATTCCTTAGAATCACGTCTAAATGACTCAAAACTAGCACGTGCAATACCAGTTGAATCTCGTAGCCGCTGGAGGCGATTTCCGGAGCTGTTTGATGAGATTGAGGAAGTGTCACTCCAATCACTACTAAAGAATCCACTTCCTCGCTGTTCATTTACACCTGGTACAACTTGTCCATTAGCTATGGCTTGCAGACGCATATCACGTATCGAATAAGCAGTCTTGAGCACGACCTGTATATCATCAAGTGGATAATTCTAATAGAGCCAAAAAAGAAAAGATACATACAAATATTAGGCAATCCACTCTCCTTCGTTCACATTGTATCAAGCAGTATATCTACAAATATATATATATATATATATATATATATATTCTATAACGCTTGCCTGCAACAATCGCACATTATCTCCAAAGTCTCCTTGAAGAAGCTCCTGTCTTACGCACCTGTAGCTCTTTTTGATGAGCATTCCACAACCTCATTTTTTTTTAAAAAAATCTTGGATAATAATTCCCAAGAAATATATAGTTTAAATATATATATCTTTTGTTGACAAACTTACGTGAGCATAGCAACTGAAAAATCTAACAGAAATTCAAATCTAGAGTCATCTAGATTGCTATCTTGTCGATTACGATCAGCAAGGATAGAGTCCCACAAACGGATAACGTCGGGTAGGTCCCACTCCTGTGAGCACAAAACAGTGATCCAACGGAATGCATAATATTGCTCCTTTACATCTTTTCTGTTCAAGTCTCTCCAGAGAGCTTGGTCAACCCACTTGAAGCGTTGGCTCATGCGCATCATGGTTGCATTAATTCCAGTGTTGCTATCATGATCGAGTGAGCGAACAAAATGATCGCGAACGTCGGACATAAGATTCGTAAACACAAAGAAAGCATCTGCTTCTGCATGGGCTTGTTCGTCTATATTGGGATCTTTGGAAAAGACGTAATAAATGGGAGCCAAGAGTTCATTCATGCCTTGAACATAGCCAACACCTGGATTAAGTTTGGCATAAATGAATAAAAGACGTTCGATAGCTTCCCAGTGGAAGTCAGGTGTGTAAATATCGCCAATGAGTGTCATTTGTTTCACTGTCTCGGAGTGGTCCTGTATACCGAATTCGTTGTTCAGATGAACGACACGTTTGAACAATGTACGACGGTTTGTGATATATGGACATAGAGTAGGTTTTGGGGGTGGTTCGAGTTTCTTTGATTTTTGGGTCATTTGGTTTGAGCCTGACTTGAAGGCTGATGACAATTTCCTGACAATACTACGAGGAGCTGAGAGTTTGTCGGCATTCATGTCTCCAAAGTTACTTGAAGAGAAGGATCGAAGGGAGCTCTTGGAATTAGAACGAGCTCTGGTATCAACTGTCGTCGTCTTTGGCGACTTTTTAGAGGCAGCTGAAGATGAGCGTGGACGTCCCATTAATCCAAAAGAAAAACGATGGGCAGACATGGGACGGTCAGGCCCCAAAAGATCTCCTATCTCTAACTCTGTCTTTTGAAAATCGTCTTCTTTCTCGGGACGCGGCGGGGCTGATAAGGGATTCTGTGGGTTTTGAGGGACATGGAGTTGAAAAAACGCAAAGTCTGGCAGGGTGCGTCGAATATCCTTGTCGATTTGGTCCAAAAAGGTGTTGTCGTGGAAATAGGTAGCCCATTTTGAAGAAGGATCTCCACAGAGTGGCTGCAAAGTGCACATATACACAAATAAACAGATAAATAAATAATAAGGATCAAGAAATGCAGGACAAACAATGCAATGGTACAAATGCTGGTTCAAAAGTGAGGGGAATTTGTAGGGTACAATTGATTTTATTTCGAAAAAGATTTTTTTTCCTTACATGGTCTCTTGAGGGAGGTTCTCCACCTGGTTCTTCCAAAAGATCTCTTACCAGGTTCTAGGTATCAAACTATGACTTTAGTATGCTAGGTCATAATAACAAAGATGTGCATACATGTATACATATACTTTTTATATATATAGGGCTAATAATTAATACTAATGATACAAATGGTATAGAAACACAACACAACACAAAAATAAAATAAAACCAAACTTACATAGTAGCATAGTCTCTGATTAGAAAGAGTACTTTGCCACATGCGTTTATCGGGTGGAAGGTAGCCTAAAAGTACTTTCCAGGCAATAGGTCGTACTCCAACCTCATCAGGAATACCTACCCCCAAACAATAGCCAATTAAATGAATGAAAACAAGACGATGAATTCTGTAGATAGGTAGATAGATATAAAAACAAATCTAATGAAATCTAAAGCACTATAATTCTTTTGTGCTATGTTGTATTTTTCAAAGTATTGTTATTACCATAAAGACAAGCTTCTTGGAATGCCTTCATGTCAATGACTGGTGTCCATGCTTCTTCATCTTCTGACTCTGGCTCGACACTCAAAGTCCGTTGAAAGTATTTTAATCTGAACAGTTGAAAATAGATAATATATATATATATATATATAATACGGTATTGATTAGCGGCTATTGATATCGACATTCTAATGCGAGAATATTATTTGAAAACCCAAAGTGCATATAAAGCAAGTGAATGAGCCGAATAGATCATTTCAACTCAAAAAGACGTAAAGAAAGGTACATAAATTTCAGGTGCTTGTACCTTTCTTTGTAAGAAGATTCCATGATGAAATTGAGTAGAATGATCAAAGCAAAAGAAGAAGAGGTAAGAAGAGGAAAAGAAGTGGAGATAAACTGATAGTTTGAAAATAAGGTACTTTCGGGACACTAGTCAATAATACACTATGCGAGACCAAGTATAATTTATTATTTATTTATTTATATATAAATAATTACATTGTGCCTATATATATATATATTTAAAAAAAAGAGAGAGCACAAGACTGAGATGCAATAAAAGAGAAAAAAAATTGAGCTACTTTTGAACAGCGCGCACGAGTGACTGTGAAACGCATAGAAACGATTTAAGCGTTTCAAAACGAATATATACACAAGTTGTATTAATATCGATCAATTTCAATTTTACACTTTAACTATAGTAGCATTGAATACAAGCAAGCCCAATGGAAAGATATTTAAATAGATAGATAGATAGATAGATAGACGATATCTTTCTTGGCCTTTTCTTAATTACCAAAAAGCATGGTTCACAAGAATACAAGATATAATCTTTAATTTGCATATAAAACTTCAGTGCATTGCTTTTGTTGGTATCCAATGTCTGCCTAAAAGTCTATTGAATAACAAGCATTATCTTTATCAATTGACCCAATTGTTGTCTATCAAAAACATATACATATATTTTCTTATTCTCACAATCCATTTATCGGCATTTTTATTATCCTTGTAAGACAAAAAGCCAAAGTTTAGTGCCTATTATTTTTTAACTTTTATTTTCTATCAGCGCCGACTCAAACATGTCTAATTCATTGATACTTTTGGTTTTATTTCATTTTTATTGTTTTATTCATAAAGGAATAGCTTGCAGAAATATGGCACTCCTAGCACAAGGTTAATCAAGGGCATCACCTCAATCAATCATGAATAAAGGATATAAGTGCAAAACAACGTTTAATCTGCGCTAAGATTCAGGAAGTCGGTGACCTATAAGAAGATCATGCTTCAGACATCTTGCGGTGCTCTTTAGGGAACGTCGGATTGCACAGTTTTCGGGATTCTTTGATATAATCCGATTTTGCTACTAACTTGTGGTAAGCATATACTAATAATTATCATCTATTCTCCAATAAAGCCTTTGATTTGCTTTTGAGCTTTTTTTCTTTTCTTAAAAAAGAAGAAAAAATTACATGTGATTTTTCTTTCTTTCTCCAAACTGTAGGCTTCATATTTGATCATTTGACAGCGTGCTAATAATAATAATAATAAGATACTTTGAAATCTTATTAGATAAAAATAGCCAGAAATTTCATATCTCTTTACTATTGTAGTTCAAAAGGCAAAAATATACCTCCCTAGACCCATAGTTTTCCCTGTAGTGTGATATTTGCTATGTTCATGGCTTTAGTGACATCACTTTTAGACCATTGCCCAGGTACTATTTCTATCATACTTTTCTTTATACATTATTTTTAATAGGCAAACAGAACTCGCTCCAAGTCTTGTTGGATATTGCTTCTTTCTTTATAAGCAACTTATGACTAGAGAGTGTTTTCTAATCCTGTTAATTTTCATTTGCATATTAAAGGCAATGCTTTACTTTGTGAAACAACAAAAGTATAAAATATAAAGTATAAAGAGATGCTGAAGTTTGAAAAGGACAAAACAAAATATTGTAGCTACACAATCACACAGAAACTGCCAAGAGAATTGTGTCTTTTTAATTGATTATATATGTATATATATATGAAAACACTTGCTAGTTTTGTCCAAAAGGTTAAATTTAGTCTGCAGTACATAATACGTATAAATGTTTTATCTTTAATTCACTAGACTAGACTAGATAATACCTTGGGATTTAAGCAAGTATTTTTTCTCAGAAAAACAAAAACAAAAATAAAATTTAACGCAATAATTATAATAATAGTGGTCATAAAGGAAGCGATATAACTTTCTAGGCTTGCCGTTTTACATCTCCATGCCGCTCTATCTTTATCTCTTGACAGCAGTCACCGGAGGACCTGGATTGTGACGTACTCGTTTGTTTTGGTGATCTACACAGATCCCGCTTGCAAGCTGCCCTCGTCATAGACTTAACCATGCCATTCTACGAACTTGTCTGCATAGCACGGGCTCACCTTGTAGAGGTAATTGACCCAGCAAATGCAATTAAACACAATAACAAATATCATTCTAATTTTCCTTGTGTAATACCTCCCTTTTTTTAATATCGATAAAATTTAAAAAGAGCAACCTGAAGGATCTCATCAAGACCTCTGCAAGTCAAGTCTTGCAGCGCGGTGGTGTTGTTCGCGGATTCGATAACTGGGGGGAGATGAAGATTCCTCATCGCATCAAGAGACATCAAGCTTACTTCAACGAAGGACAGTACGTAAAATAGCAGCATACATACGAAACAGAGACAGAGAAAGAAAGAATGAACGCAAGCTGCAGATAGACAAAGGCAACATCAATAATTCAAGCATGGAACTGATATGACTCTTTCTTCATCTTGAAAAAAAAGGTATTGGGTTATGCATTTCGATGCCAATCCTTTGATTGTTCAGGACCTCGGCAAGAAGCTTTTGGTTGACTCCCGTGTTCTGCGCCATACTTTCATCAAGTTGGGGGACAAACTGGAGACTTCGATTGCCCGACCTGACAAGTCTCAGTAAAAAGGAAGAAAGCAAAAAAAAACCCTCCATCGAAAAGAAAGAAAAGCAAAAGACAAGTGGAGCATGGATAGCTTGTTATTGTGTGCGTATGTGATGTAAAATTCCGGTTTTCCGTATTTTTATTTTTGTAAATAGAGCCAAAGTAGAATGTAAGAGGGGGGAATACATGCCTCTTTCTCACTCTTTAGATTGCTTTCCTTTTCTTCAGAATAATTCCCTTGGTGAAAAATGAAGTTTGGATTAGGATTCTATGACAAAGGCGTGTTTTATTGTCTATATTTAATTTATTGTATCATTTTTTTGGGTGTATTTGTGAGGTGAATTCAGTTGTATGTGAAAAGAAGAAAAGGATTTGGGGCGATGTGTACGAAAACGAAAACAAGAACAGAAATAAAATGGATATTGTCTTGTGGAGTAGCAACAAACAAAAATGAACTGAAGGTTTTGGTTTCGGTTCAAAGAGAGAGAGAGAGAAGTATATATATGAATTGTTTGTTGTGTGTTGTGTTGGTGTGTTAGTGTGTTGCTGTCGGCGTCGATGTCGATGTCGGTATTGTGTTGTTGTATTGATGTTGGTGTAGGTGTTGGTGTAGGGGATTAGAGATTCTAAACTACAACCTCAGGTTTTCCAAATGCAGCAATACCAGCATTCAGCTTTTCGCCATCAATTTCTTCAAGAGCTTTGAGTTCTCTACGGATATATTTGACCATATTGGCCAAATCAGCCGCATTGTTAGCTGAGGGAGCAAATAAGTTTCTAGATCATTAAACAAAAAACAATCAGTACAGTTAATAAAATGTTTTGTATATTAAATTACACATGTCTTTTACCTCCACAATGCAGCAGCCAATACAGGATCATCCTTGCACATGCCTTCATCATAAGCTACAACACCTCCATGGAACTGGGCCAGCAAATCTTTGATGTAACTCTTAATCACACGCTGTTGGGAGATCTGTATTGTGTATACATACATACATTTTTTTTTAAAAAAAAATCAAAGAACATGCCTAGTCAATAACCCAGTTGCCATTTTTTTTACACACACACACGTATAATAATAATCATAATATAGTATCACTTACACCGTATTCTCTGATTTTATCCTCGGCATCATCGAAGAAACGATTGACTAGCTCTTGGGTATACAGCTTACCATTTCCCTCCGCTCTAAGACGTACCATGAGCATCCACACATGCAATTGGGTGACAGAGAACCAGGTCTGAAAGTTATCAGGCAAATTACAAGCTAAACGATCCGTAAAGAACATCATTAATTTTTTGTTTTAGTCAATCATATTGTGCAATATATAACACTCACAGGTGACAAAGAAGTCCTTGTTCAACTCCATCTGTCTAGCACACAAGTTGTACAATTCGTGACTTGATTTGATAGCGGTCGATCCCTCAGAGTAATAACCCATAACCTTAGCCAAGCCGTAAACAATTTTCTTGGTAGTTTCAGAATATTTTTTTGGGGGAGTGGTTTCGCTGGCTCTGACTTCGGTTGAGTACATAGCCAGTGCTAAGGGACGTTGCTAGATATTTTCGAACTCGGTTCAATTCCAATTCCAAAATGATCTCCGTGTAATTCAGTAAACTTACGACATGCTGGACAAGCCGAGCGGAAGGTGCCTTGACAAGACTAGCAAGTCTGAGAGGTGATCGAGCAACCGACACCTAAAAACAGCCGGGCAATTTACAAAAATAAAGTGTGAATGTTGGAGTTCAGAGTGGGTTTTTTGTTGAATATTCAACCAAATTCTTGTTGTTTACTTTGGACAGGGTATTTCCAAGCGGCAAAGACATAGCGTGGTTTAAGAGGGGGGAGGGAGGTGAGTTTACAAGATATTTCTGCAAAGTATGTTTACCCTTTTCAACATCACGTGACAATAATAGATTTTTAATCCTTTATAAATAAAATAAATAAATAAAGTGGATGGGTAGATAATGTGTTCCCGACAATACGCTATTTTGACAGGTGTCTTCCTCTTGATATTTAAAAAGAAATGCTTTCTTGACCCTGTGTGCGGGTTTATTGTTTTATTTTTATTTTTTATTTTTCATTCTTACAGTGGTAATAAAAAAAAGAACAGTGTTTGTATTTTACGTAATAATTGGGTTCATTTTACTTGCTATTTAAAGGAACTTCTTTTCGTTTCTTTCGACACGTAACTTCCAATAAAAGTACACCCCCACTCCCAGGAAACCCTGAATAAGCAGAGCGTAGACAATGTACTTTCCAATACTAGACATTGTTCCCTTTGTCTCTGCAGACTCTCTAGTCATCTCACTCATCTTTGTTTGCATGGTGTTTACTTGAACAATCATACGGCTCTATTGTACACAGAAATGTTAGCGCGTAAAAAAAACCCCTCTATCCCAAAAAATAATTCAATGATTCAAATATAATTACATCTAGGGACTGCAGGACACGTTCGAGCCCTGATAAAGAGTCAGTAACACTCTTGAATTTACGCTCGTGTTCTTGGGAAATGGCTTCAATGCGAGCAATGTTCTTTTCAGATTCCTTTTGAATTTCACTTGCCACACGTTTAATCTCGTCTCTATTAATTTAATAGTTAGCCAAAAAATATCAAATCAATATCTTTTCTGTCGTTTGTTCTTACAAAACCGCACTGTTATCCACATTATTCTTGCTGTCTTTTAATGACTCTGTGGTGTCTTTTGGAGGAACCTGGCCTTTGATCAACATTTCGGGTGTAGGTGCGCCCAAAGCTTCAATTTGCATTTGGACAAGTACCAAGTTTTCCATTGTTCTACGCTGAGTGTCAAAGATTGCGGCGAGAGTGGCTGTAGTTTCCCCTTTGACTTCATCTCCTTCCGCAGCTGATTTCATTTGCTTGATATGAAATTCAGCAGCTTCTATTTTCTACAATTCGTGCGTTTTGTTGTTGTGCTGGCAGTTAGACACGCATTGATCATATATATATTGGGATCAAATTACCTTTTTTTGCTCCTTGTCAATCTCTTTAAACTCCTCTCCCTGTTTGATTTTGGCGTCCTCCATCGGCCGCTTTAAAGTCTAATTCACGCGATAAGCAAACACTTTCTTTTTTAAAAATAAATAGTCATCAAACTACGACGTGGTTTTGATGTTACCTGCGTCTTTGCGGGTGGGTTGAGCTGTTTGAGCTCAAAGGAAATAACATCATGGTCATCTATATATCTATTAAGTACATAGCTTCTTGCCCCATATTTATTTCCTACCAGCAGGTGAATGTGAAGCAGCCTAAGCATGAGTCCGCAAAAACCGAAACGAATAATAATTATAGAGTAGAATAAAATACAAGGCGCGTAAATATTGAATTCCATCTGCACTCACATATTGTGTACATATTATAAGTAATCTTACCGAAACACCAAAGTAATAATCAGTAGGAAGTTTGATGCCTGACTTTTGTAAACAGAGGCGGAAGTCTTGGCCGTTACCCAATGAATCGATAGAAACCTTTTTTTTTTTTAAAAAAAAAAGATACAATCAGTCCATTGAAAACCTGTTTTGTATTGATTAAATAGCCTGACTTACCGTTAATGTCTTGTCTTTGTAGGTAACTCGAAGAAATGCCGGGCCAGGAGTATTACGATAATTTATAGAGCAGGAACCCAACATATGCTTTGTAGGATCAACCCCTCCAGAGGCCATCGCAACTGTGCCATCATTCAATAAAACCATAGTAGTTGGTGTGTGTGTCTATAAAGATCCATTCAATACTTGATCCTTAAAATATATAACCCCTTTTACTATTTGCATTTGTATATATAGATATATTCTCGTCCCTCTTTTTTCTCTCTTTATTAATGTGCACCCCCCCCCCCCCTGTATTCTCTATTACCTTTGGGTTAGCAGAATCAAGCCAGATACTCAGCCCATCCCACTTATCCTTGGAACCAAATACAGGGCCATCCTCCATAGAGTCTTTAGTGTACCAAAAAGCCAAGCCTCTTCCACCGTGAATCTGAGTACCAGTTACGCGAAAGACTAATTCTGCTTCCCATTCAGGATATGGGTTTGGACGTTCAGACCACACCCAGCCCCTGGTGTTAGGTACTGAAGGAGCCAAGCGAAGAAAATCATCGGATTTGATGACATCTATGGCGAGGTTATTGAATGAGACTTTATTGTGTATATATTATGCATTCCAAATTACAAACTCACTATCGCTTGCTTTCCAGAAAGGAATTGAGCCATTGTAGTAAAAAGGATCTTTGAATGAGAGTTTGTAGTCGAGTCTAGCGGGAGGTGCGGGCGTTTTTGGGGTGCTGTCAAGTGGAACAGGATCCCAGAAACCAGCCGAGCATGGCTGTAGTGCCATTATAGACACGATTGTTAGAATTCCTGTCCACTTCATCTCACTGATTTTGCGTTTACAAAAAAATAAAAGAAACTGAAGAAGAAAGGATTTTGCTGAGAAGGAATATATATATATATATAGATATATTATGTGTATACATATATATGTGTACATTATATAAAAAAGACAATCTCGTTTTGTACACGCCACGCATGGAAGCGGGCCTAAAGGATGAAAAGCCCTTAAAAAATTCATCTACACTCTCCCCCTATCCTTAATACACACAAGGGTTTGTATCCACATCCTTCAACCATCCTTTTCTTCTGGTGTCGCTGTTGATCTTTTCTGCTGCTGCTGTTGTTGTTGTTTTTGTTTTTGTATTTTAAGGTACTTTGTTTTATACAGTTAAAATGTTCAGTATATCGCCCGAGAGTCAGGATCACATGACTGCCGTTCATCCCTCTCATGTCTGTCTTCTGTAACTATAACCACAGGCGCTTGGGTGCACTGAACCAAAGGTTTATCGTCGTCATCATCATCATCATGGGCCTGAATAGTTACTGATGGGGGTACTGGAGGTGGATTTGTAGATGTAGATGATTCTGAAGTTGTTGTCGGAGGTGCTCTTACTGCTTCTGTTCCTGATTCTTCACCTCTACCTGCAGGTAATCCTTCTGTTGCTGTTGCTGTTGCTGTGGTGGTGGTGGTGGTGGCTGTTGCCTCTGCTGCTGTTGCCTCTGCCTCTGCCTCTGCTGCTGCCTTTGCTGCTCGATCAGTTTCTTCGAGAAGAGAGAGACGAATTGCCTCAACCACCATCCATTCTTCAAGATCCATGTTAAGGTCTCGCATGTTGGACAAATATTGGTTGTGTTCAGTTGATGCTGCTGAGGATGCAGATCTCCCTGGGCGGGTCAATGCGGCGGCAGTGCGCAGGAAGTTGCGGGAGGATGGACCAGCCGAAGCTGAATTGCGTCTGGAGACTGTACGAGCTGTCTTGGCCGGGACAACCAGCTTCTGCTGCCAATCGGGTCTCACATGGTCTAACGCACCAACGTATATAAATATATATATACATATATATATTTACATGCTCATTGTGTATAAAGAGAAAAAATCTTACCAACAAGAACTACTTCTGGGCGGGTGTGACTGATGCATTGACGTCTTGGCCTAGCACCTTCGCCACCACCCGACGTAGTGTGGCGAGTACCTGTGCTGGGGTTATTTTGGAGGGGTCTTTGCTGGGCAGATTGGCGATCACTCCAGGCAGGTGGTTCATATGTCACGCCATAGTTTTCTTCCATGCAGAAGGGACAGGTAGCAGGTGTTGAGGGCGTGTCAACAGGTCGCTTAATCTGTACAAAACATTCAGTGCAGATTGGTTGGTCACAGCACCGAGAGTAATTTGTATTGGACGGGTAATACTTAAAGGAAGATGAAAAAAAAAGATGTGTTATCTCTACATCCACTACACGCACAAATCCTTGCTATAATGTTTTTTTTTCTATATATACTCACCAGAAAACAAATGGGACATTCAACTGCATCATTGTACAACATTCGTTCTCGTTGTTTCATCCGTTCCATTGTCAATTTCTGTCGTTCTTTAGCTACATTTGCCAGTTCCCGCTTACTGCTTGATGCACTGCGGGGCCTGGTGGTAGTCGGCCCTCCTGACCGAGTCCGACTGCTATTGGATACACTGCGGGGTCGAGTCGTACTGTCGACCAGCGAGAGAGACGTTTGAGGAACAGGTACACTAAGACTGTCGGCCACTGGCTCCGGTGCGTCAGAGAGACCTTGTTATATATATATATATATATATATATATATATGAATGCGCATATATACTATGTAAGCCAATTTTCCTTTTTAGCATTTTAATCTTGTGGAATCTACCTTTGTAGAATGGAGCAAGTTTCCGTGTCATGATAAGATTACGCACACTGCGAGAGTCAAAGTCTTGTTCAGTAGAAGGATAAAGACCATTAGGTAAGATGGAGCCGAGGTCAACAAGATCCTCAATCTTCTGGTGGGTATGATGCATCGACTGGGTGGTCGACTTGCCGCTTTCTCTTGATGTATTGGCACCCATTATTTGGTAGATATACACACACAAACACAAAAGCGCACACAAAAAAAGGGAAAAATAATAATGAAAAAAGAGTTAATGAAGTAGAAGAGCAGGAAGTACAAGTAGGGGAACTAATCTTAGACTTCATCTACCGTCCTCCTTTCTTTCGAGGCAAGTCACAGTTAGACCTTTTGGTGTGAGGGATGTATGTACTACAGTGCCCTATCGGAAGACTCTATTATCCTTTGGCTGCTCAGTAAAAGGTGGATTGAGCCTATCAGATGGATGATTGTATTTTGGGAAGATTCTATTGGTCTTGAATATATTTCATATTTTTCATTTGAAGAAAAGAATAAAATCTACACTACATTATACCACTCATATTACACTATTCTATTCTATATACTCTTACCTTAAGACTTTATTGGTAAACACAACTTGGTCAATAAAAAGGATGATAATTTTGGCAATTATAAGTTCCTTGGTTGATTGTCAGTAACTCCTATTTTCCATTGTTGTTGTTCATGTTGCTACCCTTTCATATGTTTCCAATCTGATAATGCCTTGGTAGAAAGAAGATTGTTTAAAGAACCGAATTCGACCAAAAAGCAAAGCAAAACAACAGCCATTAAGATATTTTGTTTGACAATTAAAGTGTCTAAGCTTGGTAAGGGATTTCATTTCTTGCCTCAGTGTTCAGCATCGCCTGTTTCTTGTGGGTTGCTTATCTTGCCCAAACACCCATTATTCTTGCCTTAGTTTACCAAAAATAAATAGACCTCGGGAAACGAGGGGGGTGACTACGATACTGTACATCATTCGACCTTTTGTTTTTTTTCTTGTGCCAGCATAAGTACAAAACACATACTCCCTGCACACACTTCTTGTACACCCATCGTACAAACCATATGAAAAGCATTAGCACAGTTATCCCATCACATTTTACAGTGTACAAGTCCAAGCATATATTAACTGACAAATGATTTTATGAGTGAATATTAATATCAAACAAAAAAACAAAAAAGGGTGAGATATAATATACATGATTTATTTCTTGATCATTTTCTGAGCATTTATCATCATATCAAGTTAAAGAGGTTAGTGTCAACTCTCTCTCTCTCTTTCTTTTCTTTTCTTTTTATATCGAGCTTGTTACTCAGAATCTGGTAATCAAATAATTTGATGGCAAGTAAGAATAATGGTAATAATATTTACTTTAAAGACGAGCCTATTACGAAATGTACGACCTCTAATGTACATGTGGCTTCACTCGTGCCTTGATGACCTTGAAACCCTTGAAGGACCGTACCCATCAAATAACGACGATCTCTACTTCTTTTCTCTTTTATTTTCGACTTATTTTTTTAAAAAAAATTATTTAATTATATAAAGTTATATATACATACAAAATGTGCTGCCAGTAACCTTTAGTGTATGTTAACAGACATCAACAAATGAAGCATTGTTTATCCTCTCCAAATTAATTTGAACTAGCACAAAAACACCAAGATATAAGATTCTTAATAGTTTTGTCGTTGGTACATTTTCACTTTCAATTTCTAATTAGATAATAATAATAATAATGCGCTTTTAAATATGAAAAACTTCCAAAAAAGCCTTGATTTCAATATTTACTTGGACCATAAAATACATCTTTATTAATGTAAAGAAAAAAAATTGGCTATATTTATTTATTAAAGAATTAAATAATTTTTTTTAAAAAAAAAATACAGTACTGTACTGTACTGTAAAAGGATCATAATGAACCTTTTTTTTTATAGTGAGGTATACGCGTGACTTTGTTTCTAGGCTTACCTGACAAACTTGGCTAATTTAACTATGCAATTACAGTTGCTTCTCTCATAAGCACTTAACAGACAATGAAGTAAGATGTACCAGATTATCTACATTTAACACCCAACTCATCACATCTTATAGCGTTGTAAAAGAGATTCAGAGAATAAACTTACGCGAGATCAATAATGGTGAATGGTCAGACACTGCTTCCTGGCATGCCCAATACAGCGACACTGCTTGGGTTTTTGGAGGCAATATTCCTTTTGATCTGACTGAAGGCGATATTATCTGCATATTTTCTCAGTGAGTCATCATTTGATTGTAAGCATCTCGTAAAAGTTTCGAGCTGATGGACATTGACAGAATATAAAACACCAACACCAACATCAACATCAACAATAAAAACAACAACAAAACAGATATGGAGAGATAATTAATGTCGAATTGATCCGAGACCAAAAGACTGGAAAGTCGCGAGGATTTGCGTTTATTCAATATGCCGACCAACGTAGTACTATACTTGCTGTCGATAACCTTAACGGCGGAACTGTAAGTCAATTGAATAAAATGTCATAAGTAATAGCATTAAAAAAACTCTTAACAATCTACTTTCTTCTTTCACATCTTAGGTTCTCGACCGTACTCTACGTGTTGATCATTCTTATGGTCCCAAGCGCCACAAAAAAGAAGGCGAAGAAGAGGATCCTGAACTTTACCAAAAGATGAACGCGGCTCCACCTATGATTGAAGGTAAGAGCTACAAAACTACTTTATTATGCACACATTAGTTAAAAACATATATAATTAACCTGGTTATTAGTGGAAGAAGAGAGTGAACGGTCTGAGCAGAGCGATGTTGATTCTGAGGACCCAATGGCAGCCTATTTTAAGAACAAAAATAAGAAAAAGTCAAAGTCAAAGTCAAAAAAGAGCAAGAAGAAGAGCAAGGATAGGGTTGAAAAGAAAGAGAAGACATATCGTCCTCACCACGTGACTAGGTAGTGTTATGTACTAGATGTGTTATAGTGGAGATACACTTAGAGACGGAATCGAAGTGAAAAGGGAATAAAAATATGTCTTTATTTATTGATATTCGAGAGGGAGGCAAGCTCAAAGAAAATTTGAAAATATCGTCCCTATAGACTTTTTTGGGCTTAAATTACCCAGATTTTTACCATTCTTTACTTTTATCCCGGGACACTTATAGGGGACTTCTGGCTAAATTTATGGTAATTTCAACAAGAATGTTTCTAGCGTCTGAAAGTGAGCCGATGAATGGGATAGCATATATTTTTCCAAAGTAAACACTAGATTATCAAAGCCAGTAGTATAATCGTGCTATAAGCTAATCATCTGTCAATGAATTCGACGATGGAGCTTTGATCCCATTAAATTTCAAGGCTTTAATATAGAAAAAGATGATCTTTTCAAGCTTTATACTCTGAGATTCCAAACAAAGCAAGAACAATCGACATAATTTCCATTATATCCTCAAAAGCACCCGTAATTTTAATCAGAGACGCGCCTTTCGATGCGGGTCGTAGATGTCTTCCATTTTTAGCATCGATGAGTGCCCTATGTTGTCTCCTTCAATACAGCACTCTTCTGTATTGTAAGCGACATCTTTCGGGTGCATATTCTACAAATCACAGAGATGTTAGATTTTGCTACAAACGAGCACAAATAATGGCTTACAATAAATGTATTTTGTAAACAACATTTAAAATATATTTAAAGTTTATTTTCAAAGTTCTCCACTATGCTATTTCTATAAATAGTGACGAGTTCTACGAAAGCTGATGCCAATAGTTGACAAGCGCCTTTAGGAAGTCTTTCTGCATAACTTGCGCTTGAATACAAAACACGAAATGTGCTCCAAATGGTCAACATGTTGTTGGGAATTAGAATACTGTATTGGATGCTGGTTAAAGTATTGCCACATCGAAATGTTAAGCATCGAGAACTGGTGAAACCCCTCCCTATTATATAAAGCTCTAGAGTTCTTCCCAGAAGAAGATGGATATTACAGAACAGAAAATTTAAACATATCTATCCAATATCACAGTCAGTCTTTAATTTTTTTTTCCAAGAGAGACAGAGTCTTTATCAGGGGGTTCACCAATCCCTTGATATTAGACAGTTCCACTGATGCTCTTGTTTATTTTTAGATGTGGCATGTATTGGAATAAAATGATAAAACAAAAAGAGATAAAGAATACATATAAACATATAATCGATATAAAAAAAAAACAGGGGTCGATAAATACTTTCAAAAATTTAGGCATCTTTGCAGATCCACCCACAAATAGAATTAGGATCAAGAACTAGCTGCCAAGTATCCCAGTAATGCAAATCCAGTTTTACAGCCACAACGCGAACTGTGCCATTGCGGCTAACCGTCTTGATGCGGACATAACCCTCATCGTTAGTGTCATCGTCGTCCTCAACATCATCTGTCTTGAGTGCTTCCTCATCAGAGAAGGTAATATTTGCGCGTTGTTCAGCAGAACGACGGACAGGAGGTATGTAACTGGGACGTCTACGACGACACATTTCTTCTTCATGCTTGTGGATTACAGCTAAAAATGAATCCAAATCTTTGACAGGTTTTCCCTGGACCTCGACTATCCATACGCCGGGACGAAGTACATGAGAAGCAGGGGATCCGTACAGAGTACAGGACACATATACACCTTGAGGTACATCACGGACTTGCTCAAGAACAGCCTTGTAAGGACGTTGAATAAGAGCACCCTGCCAGCCAATAACCCGGGTAGTTTCAAATCCGCTAAACTCACTCATAGGAACCTTGACCTCAATTTCAGCACCGTCTCTCAGTACAATCATAGTAACTGTATCTTGTTCATATACTTGCATAATACTAGACATGCGAGTAACGAGTCGGCCATTCATGCTAAGAATGATATCGCCGACATGTAATACACGAGCGCATGGGCTACGATCGTCCAGAATGTTCAACACATACAACAACGTGTGGCGTGTGCTGCCACTCTGCTCAATCTTACGGACCCATTCGTCAGAAAGTCCCAGAGTACGTGCAGCCGCAATACGCATTGTCCACAGCTCTACGTCAAGGCCCTTGAAAGTGATAGGTTGGTTGAGACGACACTTGTCAAGAGTAGACTTAATTAGTCCAACCGACAGACCAGACATAAAGGATGTATCCTTGCCCTTTTCCGATTGGGTAGAGTAGCTGACCCATAGAGCCTGCGTTCTTCCCTCTCCATCAACCAACAAACCTCCTTGGGCATTTATTGAATCGTCAATCTTGATTCCTTCAACGTTCATGGCACGCCATCGCGGAGGAGAACATTCACGTGTACCGACGTTAGAGATGGAGCTCACGGTAGTCTTACGTAGAATAATCGAATGGTCGTTTCCGACACCCACAAAGTTAAGTTCATCACCTTGATTGAGCTCAACTGGACTGAAATCGATTGGTTTTATGGGAGTTTCTCCGATGAGGGCTGGATCGTAGCTTACGAGCACGTAGTTGTAGAAGGGATGCAAAAATACAATCTTCCCTGGGATGATGATAGAGTTGGCAAAGGTAATAAATATATCTCCAATACTGATAGGAATAGTGTCGCGATCACACACAATCAAAGGGGGGTTGGTAGATACAACATAGCCAGATCCATAGAATTGTGTACCCTTCATTCCGTCTACGAGGTATGGTAAATAAAAGTCGATGGCAACGAACGATGGCATAAGTCTTTGAGCTAATGCAAGTGAAGGATCAAGAGGAGGAAATGTGGCTGAAGATGGGAGATAAGACATTTTCTTTGGAGGAGGGGGCATCTCAGTAAAGTCCCACAATCCGGTGAGATCTGTAGATTAATATTATTAAAAAAAGAATAAGCTTGAAGTCCAATTCGTAGATGTGTTTCTATTACCATTACGGACAGCGACACGGAACTTGTGCCAGTGTCGGTCAACGTGCATAATCATTATCTTGTCCTTGTAAGCCTTTTGGAGTGAATAAAATCTAATTGATAGCTAAATGAGAAATATTCACGCTGTTAAGTCTGTTCATTCAAAAACCCACCGAATTGGAACACGGGAGCCATCAGGAAGAGTTTGCATTGCATTGACAAATGCTTTTAGATCCGGAGTTGGAATATTGTTGACACTGACAATTATACTCTTGCGCCATGCACTGGCACTTGCAAGCATATGTCCAGAGGTTGCAACATAGACACCTTCAACAGGCTGCGAATAAGACTTGGCTAGCTGATAAGACAAATCATGAACAACACCACCGCCAATCTCGACAAAGGTATCGGGTGTGATAGAATGAAGATTCTGGACAGCCACTGTGACATCTTGGACCTTTTTTCCTCTGCTGATGGTTAGAGTGACGTTTTTATCGACAGAGTCATCAAGAACCGAGAACAGACTGATGAAGTGAGGAACCATGTGGCCATTGCAGCCAATTATAATGTCGCCTGGAACCAACACTTTATCTGCCGGACCCTTGGGAAGTACGGATCGTACTACAAGCATGCCTGTTTCATCAGGGAATCGGCTTCGCACTTTTTCTTCGATGTGGGCCTTGAGTCCAAGTCTGCGTACCTCATTGTAAGGCTGGTACTCAAATTCGGTTTGAAGTGTACCGCGTGGAACCTGGCGCCCTCTTTGAATAAAGAGCAATGCGCGCTTTACACGATCCAAGGGAAGATAGTAGCTAGATGAAGCACGACTGGCACCACCTGCATTCAATGCTACTGCGTGGCCATCGATATCAAGTACTGGACTACCGGAAGACCCGCCACTTGTGCCGGACGCAGCTTGGAGATAAAATGTATTAAAGTCATTGTACTCTCCAACCCCATATTCTGGAGCACTTTTAATAAAGGCAAAGTGTGAATTAGAAATAATGAAATAAGAACTGTGCTCTACTGTATACACTACCGACGATCGAGACGGGCAAGAGTACCAGCTAGGATACTCAGTTTCTCACCAGCATCGTTGCTATTGAGCGGTGATTAAAATACAGTTATGCAAGTCTTCTTGTGTTTATATATAGATTGATGTATTTACCCCACCACTCTAATGTCAAGTCCAACCTTGGCTCGGTCTGGACTCAACTCGATTTCTTCTAGCTCCATAAATTTGATTTTAGATGTATCAAACTGTAAATATTTCAAAATTTTGGTTAGTTTAATAATTATAGTATGTAAGCTTATGATCCAACGACATGCCTGCATGAAGCCAAAATCATGAACTGGATCTCGGTAGACGGGTTTAAGATCAACTTCTTCATAGTTTGTCAGTACTGCCTGAGCAACAATTGGGGCGGAAGATACAACATGCCGGTTTGTTAAAACAATGCCTTGCTGGGCATCCACAATGAATCCAGTTGCAGTGTATGCACCTTTTGGACGATTTGATATCAGCAAAAAATTAAATGGTGTATGCATGTCTCAAAGAAGAAGAAAAGAACCTTACCAGAGGTCTCAGTATCGAAGCTACGGACATGACTGGCTTTGATTGATACGATGGCTCGGATGGCCTTTTCCAGAGTTGGTTCCCATGAACGAGCACGATATGGGACATTGGACGAAGGTGCTGGCATGACATGGTCAACTGGTAAACGTGGCATATGAGACCAACCAAAGGTCCCTACAGCAAGGGATTTGGATCTTCCACGCGGAACTTTGTCTGGTGCTTGTTCGAGAAGAGTTGCCATTGACACACTATCACGATGAGCACGTAGGCTAGATTGTGTCTCGGCTGTTTCGGTTGGCGCAGGCGATTCGACTATGGGTCGAAGCGAGGGTGTTGCAATTGCAAGAGGATGTTGAGGCTCGTTCATTACAAAGTATTAATGAGGAATTAACAAAGAATGAAAAGATAATAGTAATAATGATGGTGTGGTTTATGCGTAGATACACTTTTTTTTTTAAAAAATAATAATAATTGTAACGTCACTGTTTAAATTACCATATTGAAGTTGGCTTCATTTTCTGCCTTTTTTTTTCTCTCTTTCTCTCTCTATCCTTATATTCACTTTATTGGTTTTCTAGTAGATTTGGGCATTAAAGTTAATATACTCCGACTTTTTTGCGCACTAAAAAAAGTTTTTTTTTCTTACGCACATTTTTGGTTTGGATATACATTTATTGATCAACTTAAAAACCAAAACGTTGGCTTATTAAGATAAAGCTACCGAGTAGTGTTAAGCAGAAATATAAAGAGTACTGAAAAATAACGATAGTAATATTAATAACTTTGTATTTTTTTAATTAGAGGTTTGTAGCAAATGCCACACCATCAACAATATGACTTTGGGGCGTTTCCACTCCAAAAGAAAAGGTTGATCATTCACCCTGAAAACAAAAGTGGTATAATAGATTGGTTGAGCTGTTGCTACTATAGTCCCGAACTTGTAGTCTTGATAATTAAAAGAAAAGTATCTGTACACACACGCTTGTATTGGTTAATAGTCAGCGCGGAAACATTTAGGACATAATATCAACCCACACTACTTGACATGAGCCGTAAGTCAGAAAATGATTTGGTTAACTTGTTCCAGTCGACACATATAGTAGAATTGTCACTGTACACGAAATTAAGTTCGTTTCTTAAAACAAATTCAACAAACGGACGAGTTGGTTGATTAATGTGCTTTGCTTTTGTTTGTTTGTTTTTTTTTTTAAAAAAAAAGTGTATGGATTAATGTGGTTTTAACTTTCATGTGCTCTTCTGTATGTGTTTTGGTGTCTGTATTCTTACCGAGCGAAATATAGTATCTGCCCTCAATAATATGATGGTATATTTGAGGCTTAATGCAGGCTAACAATTTAAAGCATTACTCTAACATATATATCATAAATGGTGTAGTCTACATAAGTGGTTTATTTGATCTATTCTACTGATATCATACTAGAATTTAAATTCGATAATTGTAACACAAAAAGCTTCCGTAATTGTATTCGTCTTGTACCCCCTAAGATCATAATAAGTTACCTTTGGGTATATAACCATCAACAAACAATACAAAAGAAACTACCCTAATATAGAGACCTCTAAACTTCATTGTTGGAGCAACATAATTAAAGTAAGTTTTCTTTCTATCACACCCCAAAATTCTCAGGCATCCACAAATCCCTTTAAAGCTTGAAATTTAGACTCGTTTTATTGGATTATAGGTTTCTACCCTATAGAAAAAAAAAGGTGATTTTAGTGAATTGGTCCAAGTTTTCTAGGGCTTAAAGAATGTTTTATACCCAAATTTTAATCAAGCACCAATTTCTTTCTCTTTTATATATATCCCATTTTTTACGCCACCATGTTATTGCAGTCAATGCAAAACACCTTCCAAACTTCTTCAACCCAGCACAAGAATTAAAGATAATAAAATTATTCAAATCTAATAGCTTACCATTCGGTAACAAACCCCCCTCCTGAATCCGGGTTACATCCTATTTCATAACACCTTCTACAAAGATCACGAGAAATCTTATAAGCAGTTCTTATGGTGATACTCAATTATCATTCTTTAGGCTTTTAAAAAGTAGGATTCAGGCATAGAAATACTAACAAAAGACAGATGTATAATCTTTGATAAAAAGAATCAATTAAGGAATATACATGTCTTCATCAATATCATAGTATTTAGAGAATAGCTGTTTTTTTAAGATAAAAATTATAGCACATAACAATAGCAATAGCAATAGGTATATGTATATTTGTATGTATATCATATAAATTAGTACTTCTTCTTAATATACTTCTATTATTTGGATCAATAAAAATCATAACATTCCAATATTATGTATTAATTAGTGTTTTATATGAATCAAAATGTAATTGTAAGCAAAGAGAAGTTAGTTTTCAGACAAAGTAGACATTTATTCAGACATTTTACCTGTAATTATCTAATTGTCTCAAAGAGACAAAACAATTTAGGTACAGTAATTACAGTCAAAGCTCGATATAGTGATATGGATGGTGGACAGAAATTTTATCACTATCACTATATCGAGCGTGATTTTTCTTACTCCGCACATTTTTTAGTGATATTTCTAATGCCGCTGTGAGTGACTACTATTTTCTAATAGGATTCACAGTTTTTTGTCTAAGAAAGTGGGCTTGCTTTAAAATGCTAAATAAAATATATACTACATTTATTTTTTTATACTATACAAATAAACTCAGAGCTCGATATAGTGATACTGCAGTTTGTCTAGACTTACTCTGTACACACATTAGCCTATCATTATTTTATTTCACTACCTTTTTGTACTTATTCAAGTACAAATGCTGCTTCCATACATACAGCAGGCTCGCAAATAAAATAAAAGAAAAGAAACAACTGTCAAGGAAACTGCTGGACAAATTATAGAAATAAAGAAAAAAGAGAATAAAAAAGAAAAAAGAACAGGTCAGAAATTATTGTAGAAATTTAAGAATTTGTGTGTGTGTGTGTATATACTTTCTGCTTGATGGGTAATTGTGATGAGGATGACTTGGAAATATCAGTTAAATTCTGGGATTGTTCAAAATTCGACTAGAGAAATTATAACTGTATTTTGTACATAAAATGTTGGTGGGATTGCTTTATTTCGGTGGAGTATATAGCGTATAGTGTATAATGTATAGTGTATAATGTATAGTGTACTTTACTGTAAAGGATAATAATAATAATAATAATAATAATATGGAGAAGGAAGGGGCGCACAATGCAAAATGAAAAAGAGCGACAGATAGACAAAGTACCTGACCTGTACAAGAGCAAAAATGAAGGAGTCGTTTTTTGTTTGTTTGTTTGTTTGTTTGTTTGTTTGTATGAAAAGGGTTATTCGGAAGGATCAAAGGCAAGGGCAGGTTTAGGGCGACCAAATCGATGAACACGCATATGACGCCGCATATTGCTTTGGACAGAAAACCGTCGTCCGCAATTCTCTTCAGTGCAAACAAATGGTTTTTCACCTGTGTGAGAATAAGTATGAATCCGTAGCGAAGAAGGTCTGGAGAACTTCTTGCCACAAAACATACACACATATCTCCCTGCCTGGAGATCTCTCTGTCCGTCTGTTTCGTATACTTCTTGAAGTGGAGGAGAAGACGGAGAAGATTGCGCAGACGGTTTATCCACTGTAATGGTTGGATTCAGCATAAAATCAACAGTACTTGCGGACGCAGTCCTTCGGTGAGATATGTCTGAGTGAGTACGATTGTGACTTGCGCGATGATGTCCTAACTGGGTCCAGCTCATCTTGGTGTCTGAAGGTACACTCATGTCATCCTTGGACATGGTAGGTGCATATAACGACAGGCTTTGGAGATCGACTGGAAGACTGCTTACACTTCTACTACTACGATGACCAAGCCCGGCTCTCACTGGCCTAGGACGTACTGTTTCCAATAATAGGCTCATGGCGTGAGAACCATCTATAGTTGGCCCTACTCCTGGCCCTGCTCCTACCGATGTTGTTGTTGATGTTGTGGAAAGAGGTGGCTGTGGCGGTCGTCGAGAACTTTCGGGGGTAATGAGCGGATCTGCTTCCTGCAATAGAAACTGAATCGAAGGCAAGCTGGGTTTGTCGGCATGATGGGACATGTAAACGAATTCAAGTGGAAGAAGAAAGAAGAATACGATGACCAAGTGGAAGTTAGATAGTAAATAACCTGCGGACTGTAAATCTCCTCTTAAAACATCGGATCGACCTGACCTTACTACTTCACTTACTCAGCCATGTACGAATGAGCAGGTTGACTGGTTAGGTAATATTGTTATAGATAATTGCATCGTATTAATATTAATGGACTAATATGCTTCTCTGACCATGCTCATACAGGAAAAACACAAGCTCATGTAGCAGCTATAAGCAACGTGACGCATTATAAATCAATGACCTGTAGCAGGCCAATCGATCCAGATTTCCAAAATGACAATAGTAGCAAGCATTTTTTTCTTCCTCTTCTTCTTTTTTATTGCCACAATATCCTTATCTGCTAAAACTTTAGTTTCAACTGTACCGCATCAAGCTATGTTTGCCTAAATTTAGGTGAATCAAACAGAGCAGGTTTCTTAACAAGCCGATAGACTTGAACATGCCCCTGCTGGTTAGCATGAGTAAGATGGCGCGAAAACCATATCTCAAGAGGGCTCAGTGATAATAGAGGACCAAATCTTTGCTCCCAATAGACAGGTGGGCTCATTTGAGACAAGTCCTGGACAAGGTTGATGTGAAAGTATTGGGAGCATCTATTGAAGAAGCGTGCTTCGTCACAGTCGCGAAGTTCTCGTCTCTTATACGCCAAATAGACAACTGTTCGGTGAGAAGTACTGAGATGGTATAGCGTAGCAATCAAAGATTCGAATGCGTGGGGAACATACAATACATCCGATGCAAGCACAATATCAACCTGGGCCTTGGCTGTCACCCGCCGTGCATCCGCTTCAACCCCCCACCGCAGCTGCTCTATTTGTACCTGGTCATCAATACCAGATTGGTTTAGTCTGTAGTTTCTACGTATCAGTCCCAGTGCTTCTGGCAGATCTGTCAGGGTCATCTTAGGCCCCCTGTTTCCCATTGAACGGCACATCGCTTTGATCAAAAGACCAACACATCCTGTCCTACACCAAGGGTTAATACGTGACATTTGCATATGCATATTTGTGTATATTCCTAAACGAATATGATATTCACCCTGCACTGAGATCCACAACGTGGCACTTCTCTAAACATCTCGGTTGCTGTTTGAGGCGGTTAGCTATTAGATCTGCAATAACAAGTGCAGAATCCCACAGCTTTCCTGGAGTACCTGCGTCCCATACTTCTCGTATCATACAGAATATATCCTTTTTGGCCCTTGTCAATCTTGGATCAAGCATAAATGCTCTTCCCATATCCACTTTTGAGTATTCGTGGCCCGATTCTTGCCAGTTATAACCAGTCAAGGAATTATTAGATAGTGAAATCGGCACCGCCAAAGATAGTGCATCCACCGTTTGTTTTGTGTTGTTGGTAGGTATACAATGCAACACATATTTTGTTTTTGTCAAGTGTCTCTGTTTGCCAGATACATTTCTGATTATGTATTCAAATCCGCCATGTCCTCCGCCAAAGAACCCTGGCCACTTAATTGTCTGGTTATTAAGTATGTCCCATCTATCGGCCTGTATTGGTCGTATATGTATACTGTGTTCTGTGTCATGTTGCCAATTTTTGCTGTCAATATTTTGGCTTAGAAGCTCGCATCTTAATTCCAAGGCACATTCTGTTGCTTGTGCTCCAAACAGAGACAGTCCAAACTCATTGACTAGTTCAAGACGAATACGATGCCACTTTTCTATTTCTGCAGTTGCTTGGTGAGGACATGGCAGGACAATTCGATAAAAGGTTGAGTGCTGGTATAGGGGACGAGAATATCCCTCATCTTCGTTCAAACTGGTTCGATTCTTGAGAGGGCAGTAAATTTCCCAGGGCTGATCAGCCAAGAGTTTTTGCTGATTACGGGTGTCAATAACAACTGGTTGTGAAAAAAAAACTACCATTCTTCTAGTCAAAAGACGATCGGAATGGTTCATTCCTTTTAACTTTCTTTTTCGGAGAGTCAACCTCTTTTTCATGTTCATAGATATGTGACGTCCAAATGCTACCCAATTACAGTTTTTGCACTTTAAATTCAAAAAATGATCTTTTTTTTTTTGGACAAATTAGAAGTTAAAATTCAGACACGCGGATTACCTTTTTTGGATACAATAAAAATAAAAATCAGGCATTTTGAGACGGTAAGTGTGGTGGTTGGCAGCCGCTTGTCACTTGGGTACCTCCAAAGCAATGATAGACACTGCTATGCTTTGTCCCCATGAGGGTTAACTTGAGCCATTGGCAGGACTCGCTGTATTGAAGAAAAAGTTTAAAGAAGCACTTGGAAATGTGCATCATATAAAAACTGTCAAAGACATAAAAGACAAAATGGAAGAGCTACAGAAAGAAAACCAAGGAAAAAGGTTGATATGGAAGGGTTGAAAGCACGAAAAATTTATGCCGAAAAAGTCGGAAGGTATCTCGTTGAACTCTTAAAGATGATATAAATCAAAGGACAGAATATTGCGGTGATTGGTCAGAAATTCGCGAATACCAATGACTAACTTGTGTCTCGCCGCGCAAAATATTGATCTTTCCAAGAAGGAGAGAAAGCATGCACTCAATTGATGCACATGTAAGAGCTACTAGCCAAAAGTAGTAGTGGACTATCTCAAGATCTCAAAGAGAGAAGTGAGTCTGATGAAGAATTACAAATAATTCTTATAAAATATTCTCAAGAAGCCAAGTCCAGACAGCGTACAAAAGAAGAAGCGGAAAAAGAAGTCGATGATCTCAATCGAAAACTCGTTAAAAAAGACGACCTGTCGAGTTTGATTTTAAGCATAACTCGTCTTGAAGTTAGTGATGAAGTATATATATATATATATCTGTGTGTGTGCGTGTATGTGCACATTTGTACTTTAATACAATGTTACCTTACAAGAATATATTATTTCTTTTAATAGGAGAATTCTGCATGTATACGTGACAGAATCAATCTTATCAAGTTATTTGATGAAGAGTTTAATCTTGAGGCTTCTACACCATTGGAACCTGACGAAGATACAAGTACTCTTACAAGAATGTTTGATATGAATAATGCATGACTTAAACGTGAAAAGGTGTGCATGTGCCTGTGTGCAACTAACATAATGTTTTACAGTAGTCCCTCGATAATTTCAAGGCCAAGGGAGGGACTAAGTGCCTTGAAATTATCAAAGAGTGAAATTAACGAATTCGGATTATATATTTTCCGATAAAGGTATAGGGAGTGTCAAAGCATCCTTTGGTAGAAGTACCCACTCAGTAAAGTTAATCATGATACCACTCTACTGGTTTTTAAATATAAATACCTTGGTACGCTTTTCTTCACAACTTCTTTCCTTCCCCTTTTGCTCTTGGTACACCCTTTAGCCTTCTTCATTTTCTTTTTAGCGTTCTTCTTCCTGCTTCTTGTTTCTATTATACCTTTTAGTCCCATCAAGCAGCATGTTCACCATCAACTCTGGTACCTTTTGCTTTTCTTGGTACAAGAAAAAGCGGCTTTTTTTCTGTAACAGCACTGTAAAACTTGAATAGCGTGCTTAAGTTCTGACGGATATAAGCAACATGTTGCAGGTACTTTTCTGGGCCCGAAGTCTTATCGGTAGGAATCGCGCTTTCTATGATGTTGGTGCTGTTGTCTTTCTTTAACTTGTTAAGTTCAGAACTGTATCTTGTTGAACTGGTCATGTGATATTGAGAGATACGATTCTTCGACTTCTTGACTACCAAAATCACCAAGTTTGAGATTAATTTAATTAACCTTGGTAGCTATTTCTTTTTGGTTGCTTTGTCTTTTGCAAAACAAAAAATCGATACTAAAGCCGTCCGACCTGACCAAGTTTCCAAACAATTGCTTATTTTCTCCATTTGGCATTATACTTTCAATTCTGGAAGTATTTTTGCTCTAATTATTATGATACCGGGGGTTTTTTTTCATTTACGTTTGAATTCTCAATGCCTGGGACCTTAATATTTTTAAAAAAAAACTGAAGTTGATCGTTGTAACCTCTTGGCAACTTTTTACCGGGAAGAAATGCGGATAATGTGTTTACAAAGTTACAGAACGCCAGTGCAATTAAGAGGTCAGGAAGACACTAAACCTCTGTGGAAGAGGTATTCTCATCATATCGTATTCGCAGTGGCTGTTATGTTCAGATTCAATGGAAGAAAGTAAGCGCGTCAGTAAAGGAATGAATTTTGCTGGGAATTCTGACAGAGTCTTCAGTTTTACTCTGGTATTTAGAATGTCCCTCAGAGGCTGGCAGAGTTTAATAAATCCCTGTCTACTTATGTCGTCGTTTATAGTGCTATTTGCTGGCTACACTAAATCTCCTTGGTAGATAAATTGATAGCAGTATTTTACAGCAATATTATGAACGTCGTTTGGATTCATGCTCTACAAGTTTGTTTTTTATAGCAAACACATAAAATTTGTTTAGATCTTCATTACTCTTTATATGCGTTGATCACTTTTCTTACCACAAACATAGTGTGAATATGATACCAAAGATAGCAGATTAATTTATTTGCAAATTTCTCAACAATTTCGTTCTGATATGATGTGGCTACCTCTGTAAATGCATGAGCGAGACATTGGCTTGCTTCACCGATTAAAGCTATGCCATAGCATACCTTGGGGGTTTCTCTTTTGAAATCATTCCATTGTTGTAAAAGGGTTTGAGTCATTAGAGTATCACTTATAGGTCTTCTGTTGTTAACGAGTTGACAGATGATGTACAAAAATTGCTGCTTGAAGATAAAACCAGGCGCAGGTTCGTTGGAAATTTGTAAAAGATAATAATTTACAAACAGCTTTGCGCTTTAAATTAAGTGTCTTATTGAATTGCAGCAATAGATATTTTTTTCTTTTAGGATGGCTTTGTATTTTTCTTTAATGCAACGGTTAAAAAGGAGCTTTCGTGTGTAAGCGGTATAATAATTTCCAAGGTTAAGAGTAAAAAATTCTTTTCGATAAAATATAAAAAGAACATTCAGGTGATCGTGCAGAAGCATGGCCTGGTAGCTTGCATCTTGAGCAAACAACTTCAGCGCCGATATGTGTCTTTTGTCTTTTGGCTTCCTTTTTAGCTCTTTTAATCTGTTCTGGCTATTTAAGCTTTTTACCAGTACTAGTACCAAATATTATTCAACATATTAATAGCTATACCTTTAGCACCAGTCTCGGGTATATATAAAGAGCATTATATATATAGATATTTCGTAAAATCTCCCCTCTGGCCACAATCAGAGTATATAGCATCTATAGCATTATTGTTAATTTTGATCAGGTACACGTGTTGCTAATATTACTTGCTTTCAGACCCATTATTCTCTAGACGTCTTTTGTAAACTTCGTTTTTCTTGCTGAAAATGAATGAGAGATGCATGTTTTTTTCTCTCTATAAAACAAGCAAAGAACGTCAAAGAAGGTAAATAAGGTGTAATATATTTACCACTGCTGTCAAATATATATCTTAAATATGGCAGCCAAACCTTGATGATATTGTTTCAATTTCAATATTTCTTCACTTTCTATATGTTTTCTTTCTACAAATTTGCTAAATAACCACTTTAAACTTCATTGATTTTTTTTATCTTTTCTTTTGTTTTATTTTGTAACCACCAATTAAGTCTTTTGCAAGGTTCATTATCTCTTTAGAAAACTCTTGCTCACACCGTTTTAGGTGGGTTTTATTGTTTTTGTAATAAGCTTTCGATCAACTGTAACAATGTATTTCTAATTCTTTTATATAACCACACATCTTTAATCTCCAAAGTGTGTATTCATACCCTGAAACCATCTAAAAGAAACTCAAAAATAATGGCAATATCTAGGAATACAACCATTTAAAGTTCACTAGACTTATTTTAAAGGGGTAAAGAATGCTAGAGACCCTGCCATAGCTTTTTAGTAAACTTGTTTTATTAGCAGATGACCGAATCGTATCTCGGGAAAAGAAACTGGATAACATCAATAAGGACGCTGTAGCTCATAGTAAATACAGTAGTAAGCCTTTATACAAATAAGACAACATCTCTCAGTTAATATGATCTATAATCATAAGCAAACAGACTCATGAGCTGGAGGTACACCAAGAATTCACCAAATGAACAGTCTGATCATTCACCTTAACATGTCTCAATTTTATTTTCTCTCCGTCTAAAAGAGGTAAATAAAATGTTTAAAAATTAATTTTTATTCGTCGAAAAAAGAAACTAACTTCGTCTGACTTCAAAATAGAAACCCTGTATTGGACGTCAAGTCCGCTTTTACATCCTTTTTTTGTTAAAATCAGTCCCAGTCACTATGAAAAATACAGATGATTGTAAAGATCCTATACAAGTGGCTTTTTGATGCATCTCTTCCAAAAGCCTATATATATAATATATATAAAAAAAAACCCCCAAGAGAATAAAATTAAAAAATATATAGCTGAATGTCCTCACTAACGCGATTTGTTCAATCAATCGGCATTCGCCGTAATTTCTCTACTGGTGTACCAGAAACATCAAGACTCATTTATGCATCTAACAATTCTGGTCTCGTGAAGCTCATTAAGCTATTCTCTGTATCTACTCTTGGAGTAAGGACCTTAGTGTTTTTTAAACAATTTGAATATATGTACATTTTTTTTGATAGAATTAATAGATTTCCTCTGCTGCTACACCTGCAGTAATGTATTTCTGGGATTCTCCAGCAGGTAAGTCGAACTAGGGGTATTAAACAATAAACAATAAACAATAAACAATAAACACAACTAATTAACTCAGGATTCTTTGTGGGACAGTTCAGGCAACCGAATTGAGTGGTTATATGTTTCTTGGAGGTAAGGAAGGAAGGAAGGAAACAATAAAACCTGAAGAAATATACTGACTCTATCACAATAGCTCTCGCGGCTAGTACATGCTCTACTGGTGCACTCCACTTTATGCTCTCTCCATATGTGCACACAATTCAATTACACTCACCCCCGCGAAAAACAGTGACTGCAGCTGATACTATTACACCTAACAGTGTTATTACCCTTGAGACATTGGATATGTTTGCGCGAAAACGAGAAACTACTCTAGCATTGCGAGACTTGGTACCTAATCCAGGCATGTTCTCGACATGGAAAGTATCCAAGAAAGTACTGAACCGCCAGTTTGAGTTGGAGCGTGTCAAAGGTATCCCACCAACCATTCACCAAGACAAGTTCTGGCTTGATCAGAGAGATGCTAGGGGAGATGGTCCAGTCATGGCTAATCTGATACGTGTTGTGGAAGAACATGATCGCCGGCAGCGTTTGATCTGATTACAACAAACCGAATTCGATCGAACAAAGTGTCTTTTTACCTTTATCTCTGGTTTATTGGATATGTTGGGCGTGCACAAGAGTAGTTGGGGTCGGCTACTGTATTTACGTACTCCCAAAAATTATATCAAAAATCAGGTTTTTCGATTTTTAGTGACAAACAAAACATGCCTCAACTTCTTTATATCCAAAGTAAAAACACCCAAATAGCCTGAGATGTTGACTCCTCATAGAAGTGATAATAATAAATTATATATATGCTGTGTTCTCCAAAGAAAGCTAAAGAAGTAATGAAAGCTTTGATTATATCAGGTATAATTTTTACAAGAATATACATGTTATGGACTATGGGGTCTTGGAAACTTTATATATATATATATATTATATGTGCCTTTGTTTGTTGAACCTGGCTAATAAAGTATTCCAAATACATTGACTTAAACTAATAACAATATTTTGCAATGTCTTGTATTCAAAGTGCTAATAGTAAGAAAGAAAAGGGGTTTTACTTTTAGTCAATTGGCTATCATTTTTCTTGTTGGAGTGCACTCTTTTTCTTTGGACCTCGTTTGCGTCTTGGCCTGATAGACGGTTTTTCTTGAACAATTGATGTATCAATTTCAATATCCTTACAATTATCGGTATGCTCGCTCATATCAACATCAGTGTTCTTCGGGGCTTTAATGTGAGGTATATTGCGCGAAAGACTTGCTTTAGCACCTCGTCCAAATGAGATAGTTTTTGGAATCTTTAGCCGTGTCAAATGATTAACTAGATCATCCATATCTACATCCACAGGCTCTCTTTCTTTCTCTTTTTCTTTTCCTTCCTCTATAGTTGACTTGATTATTTGTCGTTGATCCTGCTGCTGGTGTTGTTGTTGATTAATTGATGCTCCATGACGTTTTTCGCGTTTATTCCATTGATCGTAAGTAAGTGTACCAGTCAATACAATATCAAACGGAAAGTATTTAGGATAATGGTGCTTATCAATTAGATGTAATCTTCTTAACCTTGGGTCGATAAAACGCTTTTGACACCCTTCGACGTAACAAGCGTACTAATAAAGTAATTGAATAAAGGTACTTACTATCAGTTATTGCTATTGCTGGTTTCTTTTTAACTTGAAAAAGAACGAAGGGTATGGGTATATTTTTAATTCAAAAACTCTTTATGTTGTCCTTACAATCTTTTCGCCACGTTCTTTTTGTATTTTCTTAAGAACATCATGGAATTCGTCTAAATGGAGTTGAAGCCAATGAGATGAAGGAAACACTTTTTCACACACTGAACAGGTATTTAAGTGTTTTGCCTCATAGTGCAATTCATATGCATAGATCGATGGAAGCATAAGTGGATGTCCATCGTGGTGGCAGGAATGATGTTCACAATAGATTGGTTGAGTAATTCTATTTGAATCTCAAAGTTATTAATGTAAACAGTAGAAATTACTATCAGCATCACATTACTCTTTGAGCGTTTCTGCCTCTTTATTGATCATTTCAGCATTTTTAGCATCTACTTCTTTTGTCAGCCATTTTGCACGTAGTTCAATTGTTCCGGGTTGAAAAAATAAACTATTCGGTGCATAATTTGTTTTTTTTGGTGAATAGAGTGAGAGCATCATTTGGTGAGGACAGATTGAAATGATTCAATAGAAACAAATGTCAGAATTTTAACACCACCAAATATTTTAGAAACAAATATATATATATATATGATTTTAATATTTCTTCTATCACTATCATGTTTCACATACCGTATTCCTACTTTAAATTAAGACAATGGGGGTGCTCAGCCAGATTGATCGATCAAATTTTGAATTCAGAACGCCATATTATTGGACTACAATTGTAATAGCGACGATAAAAATTTGATCGTCTTTTTGAAAGATCAAATTTCGATCAAATTTTGATCGAAAAACGTACGGCTCTCTGATTAACCTAATCCTTACTTTTTATATGCAATACGATACTGTTTTTATCTTTCTCCTTAATAAATCATAGAATTTATTGCCAACAGTTATATAATACTTCTTTCTCTCCATCTTACATGCCAAAATATAGTACAAAGCAACAAGCAATTGATGCCTTGAAGAAATCGCATAAAATCAGGGAATTTATCGTGAAAAAAAACACTGGTAGAGTCTTTATCAGCAAGTGCAGACGAACTTATTAAAGATATTTTAGAAGTAATCAAAATGGAAGTTAATATAAAGTTGGAGCAGATGACTGCCGCGAAGGAGCTTAAACGAACACTTAAAGCCAATAAATACATACACAAGGTTGACAATGTATTGCCAGATGTTGAGTAAAGGGAAAGAGCACTTGATTTCTTTGAGAGTCTATATGCCTACAGGCTCAAAGAAGAAATCAGAATGTGCAAAGATTATTCTATAAATGCTATAAAAATCTATG